CTTTTAATACATTTACTGGGCGCGGCCGAACCCAGAATCATTACCTAGTTGAACCCCAGGCTATAATGTTCATAAACATAACGAATAGAGATTATGGATAAGGCGGAATGACTTGTCATACGTTGTATGACCCGCCGCGCACGAAGTAGCGTCGGAGACGCTATACACTATAGTGAAGCGACCGTGGGGGTCACCACGTGATACAAGGAATGACAGGCTGAGCGCCGCCCAGTAACCGAATCTCTATGTTTATGAAAATTATATTTTATAGCCTGGGGTCCCCAGCTCAAATTACATTTACAGCCACAGGGGTTATTTTTTTAAAAACCACTTTTTATAAGTGCTCGCTAAAATGGATCCTACGTTGGGTAGGCAGCTGTAGGATAGCTTAATTGTGTTTCTGTTCATGTTGAACAGCTTGTGAAATTGGTGTCCTCGATCTGCATGGGGAAGTGTTTGTTTAGTAATCGGAGGAAGCTTTTGCCTATATTTTTTGTTACATTCGACTTCGAGTTGAAACCAACGGGGGTTGCAAACCATATAATCTTCCTGGATCTCATCTCATGTTGGCTCGTGGCAAGGTGGTGTTGGACGTTGGTATCTGTAAACTCTCGCTCCTACTAAATCGCTCGCCCAAATTTTAAGAAGATTCTTGTGAAAAGGCCCTTTGGGTATGAAATGATCTAAATCGGTGTATTTTGGACGCTGATTCCGAATCATTCCCCATGACGAAGGGTAAAAATGCTTCCCTGGAGATTTATGGGCAACAAACCGTTTTTGTCGTGTGACAGACTAGTAAAACATGAATTCGATTGTTTAGGGCTCGGGTTAGGGTTAGGGTTATGGTTGTGGTACAGGTAAGGGTTATGGATAGCTTTGGGGTTATGGTTAGGCCTCCACCTATAGGGTTAGGGTTGGGATAATAAATGGGAATATAAGGGTTTATGTAAAATGTAAAACTGTTTTGTACGGCTGCAAAGTGCAAATCCATAAAAACCAAAGTCACGTAAAATTGTTGGGCGCTAGCGAATTAGTAAAACCCGTAAACACTAGTTGGTGGTCGAGGCAGCTATCTTTAAGTGAGCTGTTCTGTGTTCTGCATACTGAGACCCCTTTCGCTTTGTCAATGTCAAACTCCTCTTAATTATGCTTTATAATTATATTGTTGCTCTAACCAGAGTCCTCTCGCTTGTGAAACAAGCGCGTCACGCAGTACGCGTATACACATGGCTATGTGAAATTATATTGCAGGAGTGATATGAGGAGATGTCCGATAGTCGCCGGTTTAACATATTACTTGCGGCTAACCTAATTATGATTCATGTACCAACAATACATAAGGCTCATGGTATGTGGTCCGGTGCTGCGCACGAGTGTGGAGTGATAACTGATAAAACATTATTGCTTGGCATACGATCGAGCGATAACCAGTTCCTTAATATTTATCACTCCACACCCGTGCGCGTGTCACCTGTAGTCCAGTCACGTCGCGCGCGTTTTCATGGCGGATGCTAGCAATAAATATTTAATTTTTAACACATAACAAGTTTTTTCGTGTAACAAATACAACATAATTTAATGTAACCAGCATGGCACTGGACGTGCGTCGCGTGGCGGGCCTACAACGTGACGCAATTGGATTTGGTACAGGTTGAGGTAACACTGTTATACTGTTAGTGTTATATTGTATTTACCTGGAGACCCCAGGCTATTATGTTCATAAACATATGAATAAAGATTCCGCGGAATGACAAGCTGAACGCCGCCCAGTAATATTGTATATGATCAGGGTAATAATAATATCATAACGAGTCATTCAGGGCCACTTTGTCATACTGCCTACGTTGTAGTGTGTAGACTTGCCGCGCACTCGTGCGCGGCAGGTCTACAACCTATGAAAAAAGTAATTAATCATCATCCTCAGTTCAGTTACAATCAGTTATTCTCAGTTACAATCAGTTATTCTCAGTTACAATCAGTTATTCTAGCATTTGTCAGTTACAATCAGTTATTCTAGCATTTGCAACAATTTTAATTGCTCTCTTATCAGTTGTTTCATCTTTACATCGACACGCCAGCTACTCAGCTTGCCTTTGCTTTGTACAATGGAATTCACTGTGAAAATTTGAACAGACTCGACAAAGAGTTATCAGTGGCGTTGTATGACATTTTGAAACTCTCGAAAACTGAAACCGTTACAGACTACAGAGCTGAATCATTCGAGATAAATGGCCATTACGAAAGACCCCCTGGCTAATGCTGTTGAAAAACTTTCTAAATTGATGACAGGCAATATTGAACTATGTAAATCTGCGGCCAGTACGATAGACGGACTGAAATCAGAGCAGCTTAATTATCAGAAGGATCTTATCAAACAGTAACAGAAAGAGCTCGACTCTGTCCAGCAAACTGTACAAACTGAGATGAAAAAAACATGGTGCGACATCGTGAAGGAGAACTGTGAAACAACTACCAGTGCTCCGTCGATTGACAGTATAAAGACAGCTGTGAAAACTGTAGTTGAAGATGACGTCCGCAGTAAGAATTTCATTGTTTACGGTGTGCCAGAGAATTACGGCAGTGATCCACATATAGTGGCAGAAGAAGTGATTACCGAAATTTGGGAATCATCGGGGTGTGATCCTCATATCAAGTGGTGGCAGCAAGTTTGATCGGGATTAAAAAACCTGCAGATAGTGGTAAACCAAGACCGTTAAAAGTGACATTGGCTTGCACGGAATCAGTCAAAATGGTTCTTGCTCGAGCAAGAAATCTGAAGAAATCTAATTATGTAGCGTACCACACATGGTACATCACACCTGACAGAAATAGGGAGGAGAAAGCAGCTCACCAGAAACTTGTTGTAAAAATGAAGGAAATGATTGCTGCTCAGCCAACAAAGTATCATTATATCAGAGACGGCAAGATTTTAAGTGTAGATAAGGTCAAGATGTAACATATAGTGTTTTTGATATCCATATTTCTTCGATTTAAGAGGACGTACCACACAAGGCTCTTATAGGCTGTTGCGTGTTACGTGTATTTGTTGATTTCGGCGTGTATTTGTTGATTTCGGCCGATAACGAGGAACTTTTAATTGTGAGTTATAAAACTGCAACCGTGATTGTAACTCAGGTATGTGATGACTTGTAGAGCACACATCGCTGAATAGCAATCGCAATGCAGGTCTCACCCAGGCCAGGTTTATCTATAGGGCTCTTTTATGAGGATACACTGCCAGTTGTTTATGTATTGTGTTGTGTGCTAAGGTGCATCGTTTCATTTTTGGATATTTTGGTACGTCATAAGCAAAGGGAATTTATATTTATCTAATTTTATGTAATTGTAATACTTTAATATTATAGTAAACATTAACCAGTGTACCAAAAGCTGGTCCCCAATCAATCAATCATCCTTGATTTGTGATTAGTGATAACTAATTATAATCCTTTTTCAATTTACACTGAACCACAGCTATACTAAACACTAAAACCATTTTATTATAATATTAATAGTATTGGGTTACCTGTGTTTTATCCGTGTGTTGAAGAAATTTACTGTATACTCTTATTACTCGTCTAAATTTATTCGAAGTAACGCGCGCCGCTTTCTTCTTCTCGCCACTTTCTTCTCGAGGCAAAAGCTACGAAGTAGCGCGCGCCGGGCTAGTCCATTGACAATGGACAAATCCGTGTGTTATTCCGTGCGTTAAGTGTGCAAAGACTTATCAAAGTATCCGTTAAAATTACCGAATCAGATCACCCGGCCCTAACCACTTAAATCGTTAGACCTCTCCAAAGACGTCTTCAAGTAGCCTGTAGCTAGCAGTGTATAAAATTTGTAAAACTAATTAGCCAATTATCGTTTAACTTTAAGTTTAAGGGGGAGCATCATGAATAGAAATTGTTAAAGCATTTGGCATTGTTAGCTGACACTGACAGAAAAGACCCAATTGATCGCTGACAATACTATATCAGTTATTATTCATGATCTTCCTGCTTAAACGATGATTGACTAATCAGTTTGGCAAAGGAACTATTAACAGGCTACGCTTGACTGCTTAATTGAGGAAGTATTTATATAGCTGTAGCTGTAGTCTATGTATGTAATAAGCGCCATGATGCATGAGTTGGCACTGGATTTTTTTCCTCCGCACTCCAATTTTGTGTTTTGATAATTATGGTACCAAAAATTGCGGCGGACTAAGCTTATTCTTGTATCACGTTGTGACCCCCATTGTCGTTTCACTAAGATCACCCCTTAAGCTTTTCTGCGATACAGCTAGGGGGAGCCGAGCACTCGTGCGCGGCAGGTTATACAACGTACGACAAGCTGTTCAGTATTTACGATCCTGTACAAATTATTTCAAAATATTCGATATTTTAGGAGTTATAGGTATTTCAAGCAAGAAATTACCCATTTTTCGTTCTTTTTACCATTTAGTTTTACACTCTTGCGATGTACGGGAGACCTTGTCATACGTTGTATGTATGACCCGCCGCGCGGCTCCCCCTGTATCGTAGAAACTCTACTATAGTGAAACCACGATGGGGGTCACGACGTGATACAAGGGAGACCCACATACAGCTCGACCTTATCGTGCTGCACGGTGAATTTGCACTTTCGTGACACTAAGAGGCAAATTTTGGTACCAAATTTATCAAAATCAGAGACAACAAATTCTGTGTCAACTCATGGCGCTTATTACAGAGACTACTAGTTACTGGGCGGCGCTCAGCCTGTCATTCCGCCGAATCTTTATGTTTATGAACATAATAGCCTGGGGTCCTCAGGTAAACTACTAGTAGTAGTACTGGAGAGCCGTGTTAGTTGACCGTTAAACTGTAAACAGTGGAATTAGTAGTTTACAGTGTAAACTACTAATTCCAATTTTGGACTTCGTCGCTTCACGTTCCGCGCGCATTATCAATACTACGCTTGCTTCGTATCGCTTGGATAGTGCTGAATTATTTTGTAAAAATATCATCGAAATGAAACCATAGATATAGTATAACATATTTGAGTTTGACTTTTAAATACAAAAAAATGTGCAAAATAGAAAACTATATATTAACAATATAATAATACAATCTTTTAAAATCATAACAGAGAACAATTTAACTGTTAAGTCATAAGTGTTACAAGTCTTACTCTTAGTTTTACTAAAAGTTCTTGATATGTAATGTTATATTCCAATTTTCGCAATATTACAATTTTCTTTTAGGTTGATAAGAAAAACGTTTCAACTTCTCAGCAGATTTATTGTGAAATAGGGATGCCTCAGGCAAGCGCGTTGTTTTAGCAGCCAACTCATCTCGTGTGACGTCATCAGGCGAAGGAGTGACGTCAAAAGGACCAGGGAGAGTCTCTATAACAACAGGAGACAGATTAAAATGAGGAGGAGGAGGTAGATTCTCATTTGCAGAGCTCATCAGACCCACTGATTGAGTGTTTACGTAAGGGGTAAAAGAAGGGACTCCTGTTTTCTCCGCTCCTTGATTCCCTACTTCCCTATTAGGCCGGTGAGAAGAGACTGAGTCAAACTTGGCGTACATTTTAGTAACTGGTGTGTTCTGTCTCTCTGTGTTCTCTATAGACATCTGATCTGAGCCTGACAGTGGATCTTCGACAGAATTATCTAGAATATGAAGTTTGAGACCTTTTTCTGACCCTAAGGGGGGTGTATTAAGCAAAATTCTCTCTGTTAATTTCGGTTTCGATGTACCTGCCTGTGTCCCTGCATCAGATTGAGTGGGATATGAGACGTTAAAATGCGACAAAATATCACTAGGCCCTGGTGACAATATGTCTGAGAAGTCCTCGTTTAGAACGTCATCCAAAGTAGGGTCGCACTCGTTAGTCGATCCAGGGGTCGGAGTAGCGATTCTAGCTCTTTTGTTTGCCTTAAAATTTCGGACTAATTCCGCAAAACTGGTCTTTTGTGGCAGGGCGCTAGCAGAGGAGCATGCTGACGAATCACTTGAAGCATCTTGAATAAAGTTGGCAGGTTTATGTCTTGGAGGCTGCAGTCTAGTCTTCTTGCATGGTTTGTGGACAATCTTTTGAGGAACTTTTGACTCAGGATTTGTGTCTCCGTTAATCAGGGACTGGGTAGGGATCGGAGCGCGCTTCTTTTCTTGACGGTCTAACTCTTTTCGTAGTTCCTGGAGTAAATGTCAGTTAGGTTGCTGGTCTTCTCACGTACTTATAAAACTAAAATATCACGGGTCAGAGACGACTGCTAGTCTTTATGAAACCTCTAATACAGATCTGTAAAAATAGTCAAAAAACGAAGTCCAAGATTTTCGAAACCGTATTTAAATGTTTCTTAGGCCTATCTCAAAATTCTAGCCCTGCAACTTTAGCTCTTCTAAATGATCCCTAGAACAAATCTTGAAAGCGCCGGCCAGCAATCTAAATCTATCGTTATCCAGACTGTGCAAGTGTATAGATACACATTTCCTGAGGCCTATTTAAATTATGACAGCCAGGATTTCATTTGGCAGCATTAGTTTAGCCAACCCAGTCCAACTCCAGGGTGGACACTGGACATGCTACCCAGTCAAACTCTAGGGTGGACATGCTACCCAGTCCAACTCTAGGGTGGACATGCTACCCAGTCAAACTCTAGGGTGGACATGCTACCCAGTCCAACTCTAGGGAGGACATGTTACCCAGTCCAACTCTAGGGTGGACATGCTACCCAGTCCAACTCTAGGGTGGACATGCTACCCAGTCCAACTCTAGGGTGGACATGCTACCCAGTCCAACTCTAGGGTGGACATGCTACCCAGTCCAACTCTAGGGTGGACATGCTACCCAGTCCAACTCTAGGGTGGACATGCTACCCAGTCCAACTCTAGGGTGGACATGCTACCCAGTCCAACTCTAGGGAGGACATGCTACCCAGTCCAACTCTAGGGTTGACAAGCTACCCAGTCCAACTCTAGGGTGGACATGCTACCCAGTCCAACTCTAGGGTGGACATGCTACCCAGTCCAACTCTAGGGTGGACATGCTACCCAGTCCAACTCTAGGGTGGACATGCTACCCAGTCCAACTCTAGGGAGGACATGCTACCCAGTCCAACTCTAGGGTTGACATGCTACCCAGTCCAACTCTAGGGTGGACATGCTACCCAGTCCAACTCTAGGGTGGACATGCTACCCAGTCCAACTCTAGGGTGGACATGCTACCCAGTCCAACTCTAGGGTGGACATGCTACCCAGTCCAACTCTAGGGTGGATATGCTATGCTACCCAGTCCAACTCTAGGGTGGACATGCTACCCAGTCCAACTCTAGGGTGGACATGCTACCCAGTCCAACTCTAGGGTGGACATGCTACCCAGTCCAACTCTAGGATCGACATGCTACCCAGTCCAACTCTAGGGTGGACATGTTACCCAGTCCAACTCTAGGGTGGACATGCTACCCAGTCCAACTCTAGGGTGGACATGCTACCCAGTCCAACTCTAGGGTGGACATGCTACCCAGTCCAACTCTAGGGTGGACATGCTACCCAGTCCAACTCTAGGGTGGACATGCTACCCAACCAACTCTAGGGTGGACATGCCACACCGTTTCAACTCTAGGGTGGACATGCTATGCAACCCAGTCCAACTCTAGGGTGGACATGCTATGCAACCCAGTCCAACTCTAGGATGGACATGCTATGCGCGCCATCATCTGTACGTTAGTGTTGTCTGGGGCACATCCCCTATTGATCCAGGGGTGGAGCCCCCTTCCTGGCAATTGTCCAGCACATCAGAACCAAGCCAGTGCCAAGTATTGTGTCTGTGCTAAGTATTCAGTATTGGAGAATGGAGCGGCAAGTGACCAACATTTCACAGTAGCTGTGACAACAACAGTCTTTATCACCCAATTAGGCAAATGTCTCGATAGTTAAGTTAACAAGCTGCTCAGGAGGGGGTGGTTAAAGTTAAAACTACTACTACCTGGGTATTGACATGGAATGAGGGGACCTCTACCGGGTCATCAGTCTCCAGTACAGGGCCTCGTCGTCTGGTGGGTGCTATTGTTTGTGGTGCAGGTTCATTGCTCTCTCCGTAGTTAGGAGGTAGTCCCAGTACTTCTAGTACCAGTGTCTCTGGGGGTCATGTTTAGTTGGTTGTGGCTCCTATATGTCAATAATCCTGCTATATTCTAAATATCATTAGTTATAAAGTCGAATTCTTCCCTCTGACATTTTAGAAGGTCCAATATTAAGCTAGTTTTTATCATAGAGAAGAATGCTACCTTTTAAATAACGAATAACGAATGGGCCCAACAATATATTTTTGCACCAGGAAATCATCATTAACGTGTAAAACAAGGTAGTGACATTTAGTAACTGACTCTGTTTGTTGAACTCCAGTTCAGGCTGAGCAGGGAAGACAGAGTGAAGGACACTAACACTCCCGAGGAGGGAAGAGTTGAGCATGGTGCACTCAACCAGGGATATAGTAACTATAGCGTCCTCTAACTCCACTCTCTCGTGCATCATCAGCTTAGCGTGCGCTTGTGATAACCTGGTGATTAGGGGAGTCTATAAATGATTTAAACTGCTACTGCTAGTGAAGGAAGGGGGGGGGGGGGGGGGGGTAACAGTATGAAAGGTAGAAAGTGTCAAATAGAGGCGACGTAACGGCTTAGTGTGTACAGCCTGAAGTAGGGTGCACTAACACTAATGGCTGATAACTGATGTTTGGCGCTGTTTTGCGTTGTCCAACAGTTTATGACATGCGGTTACAATAACAGAGCTATTACAACTACCTTTCTCTATGCAATTCGCCACACATCTCTTAGTCTTGTTTTTTGAAATAATCTGTTTTAAAAATAATACTGTATAATGAGAACCCAATTCTATTTTAGCATGCTCAAAGCAAAGTTGTTGATCGCATACGTCCTTGTCTGGATTCAAGGACAATCCTGTAAGTACATTTAAAATGTAGATCCCACGGGGGGGATGCAACGTCAATTAATGTCAATTAATGTCAATTAATGTCAATTAATGTCAATGTCAGTTTTGCAAAATTTTGGAATACTGACATTAATTGACACGATATTTTTCGACCAGAGATTATGTAGTTCTACCATATTTTTAGCACTTTAGAACGTTTATATCATCACTTTATTCACTACTATCACATATGGAAAAGTGAAATGTGAAAAAAATTCAGATCATTAAACAATAAAACTAAAATAATACGGTTTTCCGAAATTTAATTTTCTTAAATGGGCGTGGCCATCCAAGGGCGTGGTTCTCAACATCATCAGAACTTAAAACCCACATTAAACGAAATGCCTTCATGACATTTATATTTGAATAACGAATCTTAAACAGCTAACATTACTCCTTCACACTAAAAAAGCCGATTCTAGATATTTTACCTGTATAAGAAACCAATAAAATATGGGCGTGGCCGGTGGGGACCGAAGATGGAAGAGTTTGAAGCTGAAATTTTTTTTGGTGGTCTTTGAACCTAAGGATCAACAGATAAGAACATACTCATAATTATTCAAGGACATTTTGTTTTTTGAACCGATCTAACTTACATAGACGTGAATATCTTGAATATCTATCGAATAATGATAATCTCAAATTTCAAGACAAATTAATGTCAATTAATGTCAATTAATGTCAATTAATGTCAATTAATGTCAATGTCAGTTTGGGGTTTTTATGGAATACTGACATTAATTGACGTTGCATCCCCCCCGATCCCACATCTCAATCCTCCAATATTGAAAAGCACAAACAGGCTAAGGACGTCTGGTTACTGGTATGGAGATTGGAAACACTCCGATTCACAATACTGAATTTAACCGTCACTTATTTTCAGATGCTAAGAGAAGTGTGTTGACAGAGCTGGTTAATAAGCCATGTTCTAGAAGCGTCGTCACAGCAACCCAACATCTCTCCTTCAGAGATAAAGTAGACGTCTGTGATGGAAACCCAGACACATTCTATCACTCCATCATGAGGGAAGATGAAGAAACAAGTCCGTTCCTCATTGTCCACCTTGGCGGAACATACCGGATCACGAAGATAACTGTCGTGAACGTCCACACGGGAGCTTATTGTGCGGGTGAACCAGATAAATGTGTAGAACGTCTTGACGGAGCGAAGGTAGAGGTACTCGCAGGTAGGAAAATAAGTATTCTTTGTTATTGTAGATCTCACCAGGCCCTTTGTACGAGGCTTCTTAATGGGGCCAGGGTGGAAATATTGACAGGTTAGTAAGGCTTTAACTAGTATTAGTCGTGTAGCAGTGGACAATACAGTCCTACTGTGATTTAACTATACGAGGAGTTAGTTAGGATCTTAAAGATTGATAGTTCCCATAACACTAAACGAAAACTTCAGTAGGTGTCCCTGCTAAAGAATGTGGACGAATCAGTGTCACAGACTACACACTGAGTGCTGAATTTCAGACTTATGAGATTGAGTGTGGAGAGGAAGGAGTAGAGGGGAGTGAAGTGAAGGTCCAACTAGTGGACACAAGGGTACCTCTGGAGATAGCAGAGATTGGAGTTCTCGGCTACAAACCAATCAGTAAGTTTCAATATTGGGTCTGCTTTATGATTAGATTATTTTATGTGGACATGGCTTCTTAAAACTGGGCACGTTTTAAGAAGTCATGAGCTACTACATATAATAGTATACAACAACAACAACAACAACAACAACAACAACAACAACAACAACAACAAAAACAACAACAACAACAACAACAACAACAACAACAACAACAACAACAACAACAACAACAACAACAACAACAACAACAACAACAACAACAACAACAACAACAACAACAACAACAACAACAACAACAACAACAACAACAACAACAACAACAACAACAACAACAAAACACATATAATACAGTAATCGTCCCATTGACCCCTAAGGGTCAATACAAGGGACGATAGGGTCGTTTACAACCCATCCTTTCTAGAGGCTATAGATGACAAACCAAAATACTTGATTAAACAAATTTTATGCACGAATGTTCAAAATCGATTGGGCTACATTATTCACTTCGGAATATGAGCTTAATGAGTGACTAACAATTAGATAATTATGAGACATTTTTATGAATAACTTATTAAAGAGATAGCAGGAGAATACTTACATCATTAATTGCCCTTTTTTAAATCTCACGATCTCACACTTCTTGTCTCAGAGAAGATAGGGCCAGCTGAGGCCTAACTCTTTGCTGTTCTAACTTCTAGTCTCAGAGGGCCAGCTGAGGCCTAACTCTTTGCTGTCCTAACCTCTAGTCTCAGAGAAGATAGGGCCAGCTGAGGCCTAACTCTTTGCTGTCCTAACTTCTAGTCTCAGAGAAGGTAGGGCCAGCTGAGGCCTAACTTTTTGCTGTCCTAACCTCTAGTCTCAGAGAAGATAGGGCCAGCTGAGGCCTAACTCTTTGCTGTCCTAACCTCTAGTCTCAGAGAAGATAGGGCCAGCTGAGGCCTAACTCTTTGCTGTCCTAACCTCTAGTCTCAGAGAAGATAGGGCCAGCTGAGGCCTAACTCCTTGCTGTCCTAACCTCTAGTCTCAGAGGGCCAGCTGTTGGCAGCATGAAGCCACTGTTCGACAATATCATGACACTTGAAAAACTTACTGCTACTTTACTTCGGCTTACTTTTATTCTGTGCTGTTTAGCCTAACTCTCTGTTTGTCCTAACCTCTAGTCTCAGAGAAGATAGGGCCAGCTGAGGCCTAACTCCTTGCTGTCCTAACCTCTAGTCTCAGAGGGCCAGCTGTTGGCAGCATGAAGCCACTGTTCGACAATATCATGACACTTGAAAAACTTACTGCTACTTTACTTCGGCTTACTTTTATTCTGAAGATAGGGCCAGCTGAGGCCTAACTCTTTGCTGTCCTAACCTCTAGTCTCAGAGAAGATAGGGCCAGCTGAGGCCTAACTCTTTGCTGTCCTAACCTCTAGTCTCAGAGAAGATAGGGCCAGCTGAGGCCTAACTCCTTGCTGTCCTAACCTCTAGTCTCAGAGGGCCAGCTGTTGGCAGCATGAAGCCACTGTTCGACAATATCATGACACTTGAAAAACTTACTGCTACTTTACTTCGGCTTACTTTTATTCTGTGCTGTTTAGCTAATTTCGCTGTTTCTTTTCGTTTGCCGTGTTACTAGGAGGGGTCAAGGGGGGGGGGGGGGGGGGCATGATCCCCCTGTTAAATAAATATAACGTATGAGGGGGGGGGGGGGGGAGGGGGGGCATGATCCCCCTGTTAAATAAATATAACGTATGATATGATGCAATCGAATTCTTACTACTGGTCATATTTTATATCTTTATTTATGACTTATGAGTGGTCATGCATAAAAACTAAGTATTTGTTGAGTAATTACTCTCGGATTTGGTATTCATAAAACTCGAGTGCGATCCACCAAGTAAGAACTCTGATTAGTATTGGCGAGAACAATTTATTATTAATATTTTCTAATAATACATATTCATGTATAACGAATTTATGTTGTTACAAGAAAGTTTTACCTAATTTAGAAAGAACTGCTCAAAGTTAGAAAGTATATATAATCCAATGGCAATTTTCATCAGTCCCTGTGAATTTTTGAGAAGTAGGTTTAGTTCTATGAACTTCTCAGAGATAATATCAGTCTCACGCTTATCAACTTGAGCTTGAGATAATTGTTTGTTAGCAGCTTGTGGGAGAGCAGAACTGGAATTGCATCATGGGATTGATGTTTTTTTGTTTTGTGATGTAGTGAAAATTATTAATTAAAGCCTATAATCTGATTTCCCGAACAATTCAAAATGACGTCACACCACAACAAACGTGACGTCACACCACTCACCTAACTAAACTCTCCAACATGCGGATAGTAGTTCGGGACACATTGCGTGAGATCTGTTCCCTCTGAAGTCTGTAATACCTTCCCAGCACTTCTTTAGCTAATTTTGTAAGTTTGGGAGTCAGACTCTTCACGTGTGAGACGTATTGTTGTAGTTCTGTGAAACTCCACAGTGTGTCCGCTAATGGTATCGTGTGTTAAAATGTAGCTGGTTCAAGCTAAAAATGAACAGATAGTTTTTAAATACAATCTCTTAAGGGCGCATTTATTTTATCGCAACTTCTTAATATTTATAAGGAACAGCACGATGTATAATTTACCCGTATAGTTTTTGAGGATATTGTTCTCCTCGATAACAGCTTGCTCCTTCAGCAAATATCCCGCTACCAGACTGTCCCAGGTAGGCGTGTGGTCGTCAAACAACACTAATATCAGGTCAAACCTAGTGATAAGATAACATTTTACTTAAACCTAGTAATAAGATAGCATTTTACTTAAACCTAGTGATGAAATGAAATGAAATGAGGTATTTATATCCCGCTCATATGATTAACCAACAACACAAGGAAGGTGGTTAACCATGTCAGAGCGGCTGACTGTGTGAGATAATATAATATTTTTTTAAAATCTAGCGATAAGATAACATTTTGCTTAAACCTAGTGATAAGATAACATTTTACTTAAACCTAGTGATAAGATAACATTTTACTTAAATCTAGTGATAAGACAACATTTTACTTAAATCTAGCGATAAGATAACATTTTACTTAAACCTAGCGATAAGATAACATTTTACTTAAATCTAGTGATAAGATAACATTTTACTTAAATCTAGTGATAAGACAACATTTTACTTAAACCTAGTGATAAGATAACATTTTACTTAAACCTAGTGATAAGATAACATTTTACTTAAACCTAGTGATAAGATAACATTATACTTAAATCTAGTGATAAGATAACATTTTACTTAAATCTAGTGATAAGATAACATTTTACTTAAATCTAGTGATAAGATAACATTTTACTTAAACCTAGTGATAAGATAACATTATACTTAAACGATAAGAAAATATTTTATTGGCCGATAAAAGTAGTACATATTTTGAAATTTTGGTGTTTCCTCAAAAAGTGTTGCACGTGTCTTGTGAAGTGTTGCACGTGTCGTGTAAAGTGTTGCACGTGTCGTGTGAAGTATTGCACGTGTCGTGTGAAGTGTTGCACGTGTCGTGTGAAGTGTTGCACGCTGTCGTATGAAGTGTTGCACGTGTCGTGTGAGGTGTTGCACGCTGTCGTATGAAGTGCTGCACGTGTCGTATGAAGTGTTGCACGCTGTCGTATGAAGTGTTGTATGAAATGCTGCACGCTGTCGTATGAAGAGTTGCACGCTGTCGTGTGAAGTGTTGCACGCTGTCGTGTGAAGTGTTGCACGCTGTCGTATGAAGTGTTGCACGCTGTCGTGTGAAGTGTTGCACGTGTCGTGTAAAGTGTTGCATGCTGTCGTGTAAAGTGTTGCATGCTGTCGTGTAAAGTGTTGCACGCTGTTGTGTTAATTGTTGCACGCTGTCGTATGAGTTGCACGTGTCGTGTGAAGTGTTGCACGCTGTCGTGTGAAGTGTTGCACGTGTCGTGTGAAGTGTTGCACGCTGTCGTGTGAAGTGTTGCACGCTGTCGTGTGAAGTGTTGCACGCTGTCGTGTGAAGTGTTGCACGCTGTCGTGTGAAGTGTTGCACGCTGTCGTGTGAAGTGTTGCACGCTGTCATTTTTGGCGGCGGTGTTTATAAATTGACCTGCAGCTGCGTTATTGGCATGCGATTACTTGCTACGTAACGTGAAAATGTCTGCACTTAAGACATGCTACTGAAGGGCTACCTGCTGAGAAGTGGGGTGCCGATAGGAACATTAGCGGAGATGGGCTGGGTGATATCGTAGGAGCCTCGTGGGTTGGTAGCTGCCAGCACGGTGGTTCTTGTGTTTAACTTACACACCTGGGCATATGTTAAGTTTCACAGTTTGTAGTAGTATAACGAGTCAATTGATTGTCACTGATTAAGAGCGTACGGAGGGACGGATAAGGAAGATGGTGACTGTAAATGTTGTATTTAAATTCATGGTGAAATTGATTTATCTTACTATATATAAAGCGATATATATATTTATTTATCCGTGCCATTTTACTGACACCACGGCATCAACTTTAACGCGACTTTCCGCAAAAACCGTAAAAGATATACAACTGAAACTTTTTTGACTGGGTCAAATGCTTTGATGGCCTTCAAATCAGCATGAAAAAATAAAAAATTGGCCAAGGAATAATGATTTTAAAGCCCAAAATTTGGACCCCCAAGTGGTGTCAAAAACGCGAATTAAATAGGTAATAATTATTTTAGTCTCTTGAGTCTTGACACCACTTTAGGGTTATACGGGTTCCTGCTAGTGAATATAATTTCGCTATTTTTTACACTAAATTCCTTTAAGTAAGACTCTATATATAAAAGCTATAGAAGAGTATTCAACATTTGTTCAATAGTCACCAGATCATTAAAACTTAGCCATTTATTACATTATCTGTAAGTTAGACTATTATTACTTGGAGGTTTCAACATAGCGAATAGCTTAGGTTAATAACAGTTTATTAGTTAATTTAAGTCTTTAATCATTTACCTTAACAAACCTGGCTCCTGGGCTCCATAATATAAAGAATTTGTTTCACTTGTTAATTAGTTGATAATTCTAACTACATATAAATAGAATTGTAACTACGTTCCAATTATTATTATCTAGTTTTGTAGTAGTTATCACTTATCTTGAATTAAAATTTTGTGTCCCAGCATATGTTTTTAAAACTTCTATATTTTATTATTTATTTATATGATTTTATTTCATATTGTTTGCTTTATTAAGAATGTAACACATTTTACTGTTCGAAACAAATATCGATAAAAATGTAATTTTAAATAATTTCAAAAATTTGTGTCACAAAATCACCAGATGAAAAATAAGGCTTGCCCAACTGGTCTGCTAAGAATCCGCTAATGACACTTGGTCATCTTTTAAAACAGTTATCGTTTCTCAAAAGACTCTTGTTACTGTCAGAGCTCTCTATCTGGAACAGGCCTAGCAGAATGTTCTGGATGTCCATTTCCTGCACTTCACGAGAACATTGAGGCTTCCTCAGTACTCAATTCTAAGCTTGATAAAGCTTTTAGGTAGGTGGTACCGGCGTAGAGCGTAGATAATTAATGATTTATGTTAACTAATCTATGCTAACTAATATATGTAGTAGTCAATAACTAATCGAAGATTGGGTCCCGTTTCCATCACGTTACACAATACACATCAGTAATTAGTATGACATGCTTGGTATTCACTTTTAGTCTTTGGTCCTAAATATTCTCAGTTTCGTGCGATCAGTATTTACTTTTAGTCTCTGATCTTTAGTTAGGTTTGATTAGTGGGGTTTAATTATTCCAGTCCTACAAAGCCCGCTGACTAATATGTTTGATTTATTTCTTTTAACATGAAATGAAGGATGTCAAATCTCTTGAACATCAAACACCTGCCTGGATGTTTTTCTACTCAATGTGACCGAAGAAAGCACGAATTTAGAAAACACTAAACACACTATCCTTTTAGTAAGCACTTTATTTTCTTACCAGTCCAGCTTTAGCAACACTGATAGTCTGTTGTTCCATGGCCTCGTGTATAGCCACCCTATCTGTCTCCCTGATAGAGCTCAGCTCGTCTATACAACACACCCCGCCGTCAGCCAGTACCATAGCTCCAGCTTCCAGAGCCCACTCTCCACCCTCTACGGAGTAAAGTGGGTTATTTATCATGGTGTCAGTCCAACAAGCGCATAACCTTTGCTTGGTCATTAAACAGTATTTTGAATAGAAATGATTTTAAATTTATAAGATCATCATTCATCATAAGTCCTCAAAGTTGGAGAAGAGCCAACAGCTGTTCAACAAGTATTAGATTTTTCAGCCCTACCTAGGATGATTTAATAATTTACAGCCTCATACAAGTACAACAATCTACCATCTGCTCTTGGTATCTTACCCAGACAGTTGTTCTAAATCTATTCTACTATTCTAGCTCAACAAGTTCACTGTAATTCTGACTATCTCAACCAGTCTGACGTTCGGTTGACCTCACTGAACTTCATGCTACAACTGTAATAACGGTATATACATATATATATACGGTATGAGATACCGGGTTTTATTTGCAAGGAGAGAACTTGCAAGGAGTACTCAAGAGACTTTTCTGTACAACTTGCGGGTGCTTTGATCACTGGAGTGTTGTAGTGTGGACTGTGGGCACTGGGCAGCTCTGTATTACAGAAATGTATTATTTCTATTGGTGGAAAATCATACCACCCTAGTGTAATATTCATCATCGTATGCTCAAGTGAAAAGTTTGACTTCCCAGGAATACTTTGTTCCCAAAATAACCACCTTCCCCCACACAGAGCTAGCATTTCTCTGACAAGTCACCCTCACGTGCTCTCACGTGCTCTCACGTGCTCTCACGTGACCAGCGTCATATTTCTAACCTTTAACAGCAGCCACAGTCAGTCCTGCCTTAGTGCACCCAATACCAGTTGTGATGACTGACCGGGGTGAGAGCTTGCTGGCGTACTTTAGGATCTGGGACTTGCCGGTCCCTGGGTCCCCTACCATTAGCATGTGACACTCGCCCCTCACCTTGCTGCCTCGTCCGTCCATGTGGGTCACTCCTCCTGTTTAATGATACAAATTCATCTGCTGGGGTTTAATTTGAACAGATAGTTTAGATTGATATGCTGGATGATCCACCATTTTTATTTATCCGTTCTATAGATGTGGATACTGGCGGGGAGGTGATAATTGTTTGTTTACATTAATAGTGAGCACATGTTAAGCAGGCTGAGGAGGTGATCATTGTTTGTTTACATTTTAGGTCGAGCACATGTTAAGCAGGCTGATGAGGTGATACATATTTTGTATTATAGAAGGCTTGTAACACTTGTAACGCCTTCTTGTTACCCCCCTTTGAGGGCCCCGAATTATTTTCTGAACGAAAGCTCAAAAATAACCGAGAAATCGACCTTCTTATTAACTCATTTTGATGACCGTTTCTAACCTAAAATTGCACGAAAAATCGATTTAGCTAGGTTTCAGAACCTATAAACACTTCCTTATCCCTCAAAATTGATGTTTTATAGTTTAGAATGCGAGCAACAAGCAACATATATTTTGATCCTTCGGTTCTACTGCAGCTCTTGACCTAGGGCTGAAACCGAAAGATCGAGGCAATCCTCACCTTAACTGATCGAACTTGAGCGAAGAGCAGAGTACGACAAAACACAGCAGGTAAGTCATTTTGGTGACTGTTCCTCACCTGTACAACGTTGCACGAGAAATCGATTTAAGTTGGTTTTACAGCCCAATAACGCTTCCCTATTTCTAAAATTTTTGTGTTACTCAAACAAAGAACATGATGATTCTGCAACGAAAGAACAAGGAGATCATCTCGTTAACAACTTGAACAGGTTCTATCACAATTTTCAGAGCAGAGCACGATAGCAAAGTCAAAAGAAACAAAATAAAGGTAGGTAACCAACACAATGATATAACAATCACAATAACAACTGAATTAAATTTATTCGGACGACGGGCAGCCCTGATGTGCTCCGTGATCCTGACCAATTGTAAAAGAGGTGCTATGTCACGTGACGCAGATCCGTCCAATCACAAACAGGAATAGTCAGCAGACGGGGGGTAGGGTGGGGGTTGTTTACGATAGTCAAACAATCTTGATAGTGTGTTGGTCTCTCCCCCAACTGACTGTAGTGCTTATTGTCCAGTCAGAACAGAACATTAACATAATTTTGTAGTTATTTAAGTAGACCTGGTAATTTTTTAAAAATCACTGTCCACCTCCCTTAAAAAAACAGGGTTCAAATTGACAAGTTGGGCACACACGAATGCGATGTCGCTGAGATAAGGCAACATCTTCGCCACAACTTTGTTTCCCAAAATCTTGTACCGCTTCAGATAGCAATCAGCATACAAAAATATAAATACTACGATTTAAGTTGGTTTTAACTGTTAGTGTTAGGGGCCCGTTCAGAAAAATCTCATATTTCGAGTGAACAGATAAGAAAGGTAAACATACGATATAATGTCCCTCTGCTCACTCTTCCTGTTTGTGATTGGACGGATCTGCGTCACGTGACAGAACACATCTATTACAATTGGTCGGGATCACGGAGCACATCAGGGCTGCCCGTCGTCCGAATAAATTTAATTCAGTTGCTATTATGATTGTTATATCATTGTGTTGGTTACCTACCTTTATTTTGTTTCTTTTGACTTTGCTATCGTGCTCTGCGCTGAAAATTGTGATAGAACCTGTTCAAGTTGTTAACGAGATGATCTCCTTGTTCTTTCGTTGCAGAATCATCATGTTCTTTGTTTGAGTAACACAAAAATTTTAGGAATAGGGAAGTGTTATTGGGCTGTAAAACCAACTTAAATCGATTTCTCGTGCAACGTTGTACAGGTGAGGAACAGTCACCAAAATGACTTACCTGCTGTGTTTTGTCGTACTCTGCTCTTCGCTCAAGTTCGATCAGTTAAGGTGAGGATTGCCTCGATCTTTCGGTTTCAGCCCTAGGTCAAGAGCTGCAGTAGAACCGAAGGATCAAAATATATGTTGCTTGTTGCTCGCATTCTAAACTATAAAACATCAATTTTGAGGGATAAGGAAGTGTTTATAGGTTCTAAAACCTAGCTAAATCGATTTTTCGTGCAATTTTAGGTTAGAAACGGTCATCAAAATGAGTTAATAAGAAGGTCGATTTCTCGGTTATTTTTGAGCTTTCGTTCAGAAAATAATTCGGGGCCCTCAAAGGGGGGTAACAAGAAGGCGTTACAAGTGTTACAAGCCTTCTATAATACAAAATATGTATCACCTCATCAGCCTGCTTAACATGTGCTCGACCTAAAATGTAAACAAACAATGATCACCTCCTCAGCCTGCTTAACATGTGCTCACTATTAATGTAAACAAACAATTATCACCTCCCCGCCAGTATCCACATCTATTACATGTAACATTTTTATAATTTGTTTGTAATATTTACGTCGCAAATTTGCTCAATTCCCCTTGTTTTCTTCAAGCTATTTTTCAGCCATTTAAATATTGAACGACCCGTTAAATTAGTTCCCTCACCCAGAATAACAAGGAATGCGGCCAGCTTGACAATATAGAGCTGGTAAACGTCCGGACAGAATGAGGCCAGAAGGAGGTTTCTCCCGGACATGGGCCTGTCCTTGTAACGCCGCCAGTGGGCGTAGTGTTGGGAGATGGCGTTATCTGTCACGTCCAGATTGCATCTCTGTTCGTTGTGGATCTGTAATGAGGTTCGGGCTGGGCAATTAAATTAAGAAATAAGTAATAAATATGGAATTCTAAAAAACCGTTCGGTGAATTTTCTGGATCTCTGTAATCCGCGGAGACCTGTCTATGACAATATAATTTTCTTACGATTGTTTTGTAAGCGAGCGTATTCACCTGAATGTAGTTAGCATGTAATACAGTCTCCACACTGCACCTCGTGTTAGTTACAGGAGTATCCCATATCTGTGTCACAATACCAAATATGGTCACATCGTCCCCTGCCTTGCACGTGTCCACTAGATCGTACTCCAGTACTGCCGTCATATTTCTGGGGATCGTTCCCATATCCAGTCTCTCCACCTTCTCCTGGAATGATATAATGGTTAAGAAAAACATTAAATTAGCTTTAATATCTGTATTTGTTTCTACTTCTAGTATGCTGGTAAAGAAAATCCTGGTAGCCTACAGTCTGCTTTGGATTCTAGGACAAGTTTGTGAGTACAAACTGGGTTTATTGATTCAGATTCAAATTAAAATCACAGTGAATCTATTTTTCGTCACAATTTGATTGATTCAGATACTTTTCCTCGAATGAGCGCAACTCAACAAACACTAAGTTTTAAGTATACCATGACACTGTCCATAATCTCAGATGCAACCAGAAAGAAAAAAGAGATCTTTATAAAAGATGTGGTAAAGAAGGAATGCTCGGATAGTGACGTCGAAGCTACAGAAACCCTAAATGATGTACGTAGTAAAACACTTGCCTGTGATAGGGACACTACAACTTTCTACCACTCTGTGCAAGGACGGCGAGGAAGGAGTGCTTAACCCTTATCTCACCCTGAAACTTGACGGAACTTATCGGATCACAAACATCACAGTAGTGAACGTCTACACGGGAGATTTCTGCGAATCTCACGCGAGCAAATGCACAAAACGTCTTCAAGGAGCGGAGGTGGGGGTACTGACAGGTAAGAATATACGTACAAATAACGTCTATTTCAAGTTGAATGAATATGCTGTATGGTCATTTTGGCAGTTGCAGTTCCAACTGTTTATATTCTTATCTTGATTAATGTTGTTTTCTATATTTTACGTTTTTATGAATGTCAGTACTCAGTGTTTGTTCAGTATTTTAGAACAGTATTTTAGCACAGTATTTTAGCCAGATTTTAGCGAGCGACAGTTAGTGCAGTATTTCACTTCTCGAACCAAATTCAAAGGAAAATACCATTTTATCAATTATGGTTTTCATACCACGTATCTGACAGTGTTGCATTGATGTCTGGTAACTGGTTTCAATATTTTTAGATTTTAGATTTGAACGAAAGAAACGTTCTCGTAATAAAACCAAACTGACACTGAAATTTGAAGATTCAGATGAAGAGACATTCAAGCCCTGTGGAGTGGTGAACGTGATTAGCAACGACCTTACAGCAGATGCTCAAACATATCCTATCAAGTGTGGCGAGGAGGGTGTGATAGGTAATCAAGTGAGGGTTCGTCTTGAAGGTGACAGCAAGATCTTGATGATAGCCGAGATAAGCGCAGAAGGATACATGCGAGTAGGTAAGTACTATGTAATGAAGTAAGCTTTGTCAATAGATGGGTACATAAATTGTATATATAAATTATATATTATATCTATAAATATGCGTATTGAAATCAAGTTCAGACATGGCTACATAAAACTTGGGAAGTTTTATGTAGTCATGAGCTGAACTTGGCTAGGTACACATCTCAGATAAAATTGTATCAACATTAACCTTGAACAATTAAAACTTCTTAGCCATCCTAAGCATCGTTCATGTAAGAACTGCCGGAAATAAATAAACCTGTATTTTGATTTCCTGGTAGTCGGTGCATCGCATGTTCTCATCCTGAAGATGAGAGAACTTGTAGCCTTTGCAAGACTCAACACTGCACTTCTTGGGAGAGGTCAGCTTGTAACGGAGCTCTAACAGTCCTTCTGTCTCCGTTATACCTGAGATGGGATTCAGATAGTTAACCAGGGAAAATATCCTTGCAAATAACGTTCTTTTAATTTTATGATTTCAAGTTGTTCAACAATTATATTCAGTATTAGTTGTAGAACAAAATCAACAAATAGTTTCTAGCTGTTAATCAACTTAGAAACTGAAAATGTTTTATTACCCATTTAACCTTTAACCCCACCTCTAACACTAACCTTGACACGTGCTGCACCTCCATATCTGAACCCTCTCCAGCACTTTAGTATTCCCTGTCCTTATAACAGTCCCGTTAACTATAAGATACTTGTCAGTGTCCACACACCCCGGGACTCTGTTGCGGACAAGTTCAGGAATGTTCGGGAAGTTGTGCAGCCGGACATGGACACTCTCCTTCACGGACAGCGAGGTCACGTTAGGACGGTCCTGTTGACGGAAGGTGGAGAGAAGCTGGTGCTGGGCTTCTACAGCTGCTCTGAGAAGTTAAGTTATGGAGGGGAGAGGATTGTGTTATACTAGACGGCAGACCCTGGGGAATTGGTAGGGACATTTCATCAAATTGTTGTCTTGTAGAGAAATTTGTTTTCTGAGGTGTCAGAATTTTTCATATTCATTATTCAAGCCACTGACCACATAAATTTACTTCGATCCTTCAGTGTCACGTTTTCAGCCACTCTCCTCTTGAATTCTAAACATGATCTCATAATATTTCAGAACTTATCGTCTGCTCTAAACTCACAGTTAGATAATCAGAGTGATGTCAGACACTCCTCATGAGAGCCTAAACTGTGTATGATTCGCCTCTCCAAACAAATCTAAAGTCCTCATGAGATGGTAACACTTGCTCCAACTCACAATAACGGTAAATACATATTAATTCTCAGGTTTGAATTGTTCTGCCGACTTTTTGGCAGACTAACGGTATTTACTAATATCGATACCGTCTGCCAACATCAAAAACAAAAAAGTGGTCTTGTGACTTTTTCCAGCATTGACGTGAACTTTATTTTCTAAATAATTAGATTATGATATTGATAAAAATGAAGTCATATTTTTCATGTGACAAAATATAACCACACCTGTTTAAATTTAACGGAAAAGAAAAGCATGGACGTGTGACGACTGAGTGTGAAGACATGAGTAAAGTACAGTGACTGGAACGTGATGAGGTTATGTATTCTAGAGGCATTTCAATTAAGAGAGCGGGTTAAATTAGAGCTTTCTCTTTCGAATAATGTCACCTCTAGTTTGTAGTTATGATAAACTCAGTTGAATATGAATTTTGAACATCTCAGGAGTAAGGAGTCAGGAGTCAGGAGTAAGGAGTAAGGAGTAATGAGTAAGGAGTAAGGAGTCAGGAGTCAGGACTCATATGGATATTAATTTCAGAGGTAAGTATGATGAAATTGAAGGTGATTGAATTGAAGGTGATTCTAGTACGTTATAAACCACCTTATAAACTCCACTCACCTGTTCAGAGCGGACAGCTCAGTCCTTGGTTCAGACAGGAGAGCAGAACAGAGCTGAAGATTGTAGTCCAGCAGGAGACACAGATCAATGAGGAGAGTGTGTTGAACAACATCTCTGGGAGCCAGGAGGATCTCCTCTAACTCACAGTCACAGTATCCTTGTAGGAACTCTGACCACGCCCCTCTTCTCACCATTCAATAGGTATTGTTTACCGTGAGGTGGTCTTTAGTTCCACGATGCTGCAGGGGTGTAAGAGATGAGGACGTTGAGGTCGGAATTTGAGATGAAGGTATAATTTTCAAATCAATATCAGCTTGAAATTTAGTGCATGGCGAGCAGTTTTTGGTTTTCTTCTTTCTTTTTCATAGCTAAGATAATAAAAAGTGGGTGATGTGATTATTGTGGATAATGTCCCAGTATTTCATGAAAATATTTGCATTATTATTAGTTCTACGATTTTCAATTTCATATTAAAATTCGAGAAATTTATGGCATTTGACGTGTTATATTGATAGCTAAAAGTTAAACTGATTTGCTGTAGAAAACTAATCAGTCAGTAAAACAATCTATTTTCCATAAATATTGAAAATTTACAAACTTCTCAATGTTATAAACTATAAAGCAAGAATTGAAAAGTACTAAAGATACCGCAGAAATAAAACAAAACGTTCACAACTTTACTTCAAAAGAATAAATCCCAACCAGCTTACTTAAACTTCAACATCTATCATATTATAAAGATAACTGTGGATAGTAAAAACAAACATAACCAACTCAGAATATCTGAATATAACTCTGTATACTTTCCAAGATCTAACAATAAAACATCACAATCCTAGTCCCAACAATGCAGCTCATTCAATCGAATACTGAGCTAAACTTAAATCTAGAAATAAACTTTAACTAAAACTTTATCCTGAGTCCATTAAAGAATCTTTGTCCAGGGAGGTTTCTGGATTTGGTGTTCTGGAACGTAGGTCATGTTTATAGGCACGTTTATTATAGCGCTCTCCATGGAATTACGTTCCAATGCCCTGTAAATATGGAATTTAAGTGAGATCACACTATCGGGAATGAAATATTAGTTACCTACCTTACGAGACATATATAAATGGTACGAAAGTCGGTGGTTTTTCGAAAAATACACCATATTTTCGGACTACCAATATTTAGGTCACCATCATTATTTTCCCCAAATCATTTTTCACATATTTTCCTTAATTATGACTTTATCGATTAACTATCAACTTATCAATATAGTAAGTTATAAATATGATTCATCAAACAATTATTATTAATGAACATTAGTATTCGATCATGAATTGCTTTTAAAATGATTTTGGACACGTTCCATTAAAAATAATAAAGCTCTGTCACTACTTTATTGGCCACGGCGGTGAAATTTCGGGATTAGTGGAAGATAATAAACATTGTCGGTGTCCTATACCCTCTGGAGACGCTAACTTTCAAAGGCTCCAGAGAAATTGTTAATACAAGATGAAACAACTGATCAGAGGAAATTTTTGTATTTCATTTTCTGAAATATTGGGTTTCATTTTTGTAAAATAAGGAGATGAAAAAATCCCCAAATACCATGATTTAATTTGGGGTACGAAATGTGGCGGTTTTCGGTAAAAATTCCCATATTTTCGTTCCCAAATCATTTAGGTCACCAGAATTATGTCGAACATAAATATGTCTCGTAAGGTATTACATTTACAGCATGATTCACAAACAAAGTGGTGTTCAGTGGCTGTTGATTTTCTGAGACCTTAACCTGGTCTCGACAAACACTGCCATAAATAAAGGAAGATGAACAAGTTAACACTAAAATGTTTTCAGAACAGAAGATAATCATTAATCCTGACCTTTTAATGTGGAACCCATCCGAGCCTACAATAAAAAGGGAAGGTATGTTGATCTCGACCCCTCTATCATCATCTATCATAGCCACTAAGTTAGATCTGTTATCGGGGTTATTGTCGTACACAATAACACCGATAGCACCCGCTTTTTCACAACGAGCTATCTGAGATTGTTATACAATTAATTAAATTGAGAAACAAATATCAATAAGTGAAAATGATATTCAGAAGTGAATGCTTTGGAAATAAAGCCCACTTTAAATCTCTACATATCACAGAGGATACGATGAAACTTGCAAGAAGGATCTGATCTGAACGAACCTTCTCAACAAAAGAGCATTCACCCCTCTCCACCAGAATGAAGTTCCCAGGTATGTTGTGAGAGTTAATGAAGTCAGCACATCCCGAAACCGGGTCAGCCACCACTAGCAGTGTGTGCTCGAAGTATTTGTTGAAACCTTTTCCGAAATCTTTAGCTGGACTTGCTCTGTAGTAGTATCCGATCTGAAGATGGGGACTTATTAGAATAATTAGAGAGAGCTAATAAATCACTAATTAGCAGCCACTAATTAGTGACTTGAGTTCGACTAATTAGAAGTAACTGATTAGCAAATTGGATCACCAATCACTTGTTCTGAGATTTAATTTGCTAATTTAAGGCCTATTAAGATTCCCTGAAAAACTACTTTCTAAGAATTCGATATATTTTTTTGGATAAAATTTCTAAGGTTTCGTGTTTTACCTTCAATTCAAGATTCCGTAATTTTACTTTTGGTACCGTTACCAACTTGTTATATAATCTTCATAAACCCATAATCAATCATAGATTGATTAAAAAGGTTTGTAATGACCCCCCTCACTTGCAGCATCACATGACACATCTAACACGTTCCTATTTCCCAGATAAGAACTACTCGGAGTCTAGTGGTCCACTAACCTATGTTACTCCTAGTCAACCCTAGTTACCCCTAGTTACTCCTAGTCCACTAACCTGGCCTCTGTTACCACCAGTTACCCCTAGTTACCACTAGTCACCCCTAGTTACCACCAGTTACCACTAGTTACCCCTAGTTACCACTAATTATCATCAGTTACCACTAGTCCACTTACCTCTGCAGGGTCCACGACTTTGAAGTACACGTCGTGATCGAAGAACTTCCAAGCAGGGATCTCCACACATACTATTACATAGAAGAGGATACAGAAGGAGAGGACTAGCTCCAACACGGATAGGAACCTCATGGTATCAGAACTGAGACATTGTACCTGAACTGATAGCGAACTGGTCAATATACTGTACTGTGGTCATGTTTTGAGGCAGAAAGTTTAATTATGTAGTCTTTTTTAATCAGATATAATGTTTTATTTATGAAGATTGTTGGGTCTTGTTTTGAATTATCTCAGTATGGTTAAAAGTATTAAATTTTTGTCAGTTTAGCTGCTAATTGTGAGACCAAGTTGTTTAATTTCTATACCACCTCGATAATGTATTTAAGAAAACAAAGGAGGTTTGGAAACAAATGGATCTTATCAACAATTTTTAACAATATATTCAAATACCAACAAAATCCCTCATAAGATTGCACCGATCTTTTCACCAATAACTACATCTGTATAATACAAAATAGCAACCAGGTTAGATCACACCTAAGGCTAAAATATGGAAGTTATTGGTGATTTCAGAAATATATTTTCAGTATGATAATGAAATAATTCTATTGACGGACATTTGCTAAGTGGTTCACCAATAAATTATTGAAAACAACTACAATTGTACAGTAACTATGCGCTAAATTATCTATATGCTAGAAGTACAGAAGATCGGAATTGATAAAATCCAGACAGACAAGAATCGATTGTTGATATTTATATCTAAGGAAGTAACGGCAATGTAGAGTAACCATATTAACCGAACAGTAACCCAAATAAAAATACATAATAACAAATATTATCTACCAACTTGGTCAATAAAAATCGATATTTAATTACATTACACAAACCAATACAATTTCATACAAACGAGGGCTCGGTATTGGAACTGTTTCTCAATTCCAAATAATATAACAACTGAAACTTTATCATATAACTATCCTAAAATAAACTTTCCTTGTGTTTATAATTCGTTGATGAGAGAAGCTGAACAGTAAGGACACTTGTCTGACCTATTAAAGCAGGGTCTGTGCAACACACCGTGACACTGGGAGCACTGAGCTATACTGTACACGTCTCTGAAGGGGCTGATAAGGGGAGGCGACTCGCAGACTGAGCAGAGAAACTTCTGATTGGAGCAGGTTTCGCACCTGTCGACATGTTTCTGATAGTCTTGAATGACAGATGTTATCTCGGGGAGAAGGGTCCCACTCTGGGCCTCTGTTAAGTCTCTGATTGTGTACAGTTTGGAAGTGTCTATAAAGTGTTGTCTGGATTTGAGTTTGAGAAAGACACCCTCCCTCAGGGCTCTGGAGCACTGCACGAAGTGAGCTTTGTAGAGGATTATTTGCTCTCTCAAGTCTCTGAGCTGGTGCATTACACTCACACTGTCAAACAGCTGGGGGTTTATATTCTCGATGTTAAGATACTCCTTGTCAGCTAGATACGCTATAACTTCCTGAGACTGGAGGGCTAGTTGGCGGGGTTTGAAGTCCCAGTTGTGGATAACCCGCGCAGGGACCAGGTGGAGGGTCTTCTTGTGGCACTCCTGGCAGTAGTACCGTCCGTTGTAGTCACATGTGTGCACTTTTGTGGCTGAAATATGTGGGATATCTTAGATTTAGTTGGAATGTGGCTAGGTGAAATATTTGGGATATCTTAGATTTAGGTGGAATGCGGGTGATAATATTATAAAAATGCTAGATAAATTATGGATAATTTGATTAAAAACATAATGGTATCTAAAATATTCACATAAAGAATTCAAAATCTGACACCACATGATGAAAGTAAATTTAGCAAACTGAAACTCACAACTGTAAGATATCTCGGATCCACAGTCGTAGCAACAGTAGTTCTGTTCGTGAAGGCCGTGAGCAGGTGCTATCTTACTCATCAGTGTTAAAGTGTCTTTATTAGCCAGAGAGCACCTCCTCGACACCTCGTTAATACAGGCCTTGTGCAGGATAACATTGCATACTGAGCACGTGTACGCCGTCTTGATGCGCCGGTATATCGCGCCCGCGCACTTTGAGCAGTACCCGCTCAGCTCAGACGACTTCACCAGGGTGTGACCCAGGATGTTGATTGTGGTGTCCAGGGTCTCTGAGGAAGAGTCTGAGCCGTTGTTCTTGAGATCGTGTTTCTTTTTCCGGAGTTTCACCAGGATGTCCATCTCTCGTTTCTTGGCTGATTCCTCTGTAGTGTTCTGAGTTCGCATCTTCTGCATCTCAATGGCCTTGTCCAGAGACTCGAGGGTAGGTACCGGGTTCTGCAGCTGTAAAGGTTACAAAGTTAACAACACGTACACAACTGCACACAAGAGAAAGGGGGGTAATTGCTGCCTGTGTAAATGATGGAGACTAAATAGCAGCTCAAGTTTGACAATGGTGGGGTAATTATCCTTACGGAGATATGATTATGTAACAGCATGGAAATGTACAGATGTTCAGGAACGTTCGAGAACTTCCTCATCTACAAATCATTAATCACATACAAATATCTCTCTAACTTGGAATATCAATTGTAAATAATGTAGACTTACGATATCAATATTGAAGTAATCCCTGGAGTCTGAATTATGACTCATTATCCTCTGAAATTAAATAACTGTAAAATATCAAACACGAGACACTAAAATCCAGTTTAAAGTAACCCGAGTTTGAACTTTTATCCATATAGGCTGAATTTAGAGGATTTGGCACTGATGCAAAAATTATAAAAAATAACGGGGTTCTGATTAGCTCTCGTCTATAAAATAAGTGCTTCAATCAGCTGTCAACCTTTTGTTATTAAATTTGCATTGCTGTTCATATCATGTCATGAAAATCTTATTATAAATTACATAATTGTTGTCAATTTGAATTAATCACCGATTAGAGAATCATAGCTTCGGATTAGGAATTACAGAGCCATGATATGACCGCTAAGTAACAAGCCCTTTATATGCAAGCCAAGCAAATAATATGTCAGCTTATGTTTTGCTGGAACCATCACAACGACAATTCTGCAGGTTTGCAGGTCCGAAAAGGAATCTGGGATACAAATAAAGGCCAATGAAAGAACATTTAATTTCCTAAAGAAGGAGTGTCTTTATAATGTTTTCATGACTGACCACAGTTGCTGCAGTCGGAATATCTATATATAGTACCGGAAATGACGACATGGTGAAGTGAACCTTTGAAACGGTAGAGGAGATGGGATTGTTTATTTCTTACGTGTTATTGTGAATTTCGTGTACTTGCCAAGGCTTATAGTAAGGATTTAATAAGGTAAGCAGTTCTTCCATATCAGCATTTTTTATTTTCATACTATTTTATACCATTATGATCCTTTTCGGATGGGAATTCCGTTTTGGCGAAGTGCTTACTTTTTAAAATGAAACAATCATCACAATTTGCTGATATTATAATTTAACACGCTAAACTTAGGAGGAGTTGTGAAGGTGATGTAAAAACCCCTGACCGTAGTGTATGTCAGTAGCTCTATTGCTTCTTCTCGGTTTACTTATCGTACTTTTCCCACTTGCAGTACTTGGGATTATCCTACTGCTTCCCCTTTGGTTGCTACTTATCCCCATTATTATCTGTTGGGCTTTGGTGGCGTTTATACTTGCTGAGAACAGACACAAGTTCAGGAAATACCGTAAGGTAAGTACTTGAATCTCTAGTGCAGTTTAAACTCGAACAATGTCAGCTTTTTCCAGTGCTGTTTACAGTTCATTTTCACGGGCTGATTATAACAAATAATTTATAGCTTGCTAGTCAATGATCTCATCTCCGAATGGTACACAGGAAAACTAGAAATATCAAAAAGATGGGAGCCGACAACCCAGAGAAAGAAGGAAATGAAGGAGGAAAGGACGGCGGAGAGGAAGCACAGAAACCCATCACAGCAGGATATCGCCCACTTTGGGGCCAGCATGGACTCCTGGCACTGTTCTGGACTCTTATTACCTTTCCATTAGGGTTACTGGGTTTCCTCCTGCTCAGTCCCATGTTCGTGTTGGTGATCGTTCTGAGTTTGGGACTGTTCTTAGGAGGAGTAGTGATGATCGAGCTCGAACAGAGGGAACCAACAGTAAGTTAATGGTTATACCTGCTCGATAGTGAGCTAAACATATTGACTGAATCAGCTCAGCGAAACTTTTATAGTGTCCAACGTATTCTAGCTTAGTGGTGTTATGTTACACAAACCATCATACTATTAATTTTAGTCAAGTATTTCAATAACTGGTGAAAACTTCAGATTTTCCTAGATTTGGAGGCACGTTTAAGCGAATACTTCTTACAATGTAAGCTTCTTCCACCCCTGTCAGTGTCTTAAAATCTCACCACAGGTTCCGGATCATGAGTGGCAGAAAGTGTTTAAAGAGGATGAGGACCCTAAAGCTGAGTGAAACTTTGAGACTTTCAGGAGGCCACTCAGTATGATAAAAGCGTATCATGTTCTGTGCAGATAACATCAGATTCTTTTAAAGACTGTGATTAGTAGAGGAATGCTAAATTAAGCTGAGATAACAGTAATGATAAGCCACCTAAAATGGTCTTACTTTTTGATTAGGGTTTATCAAGTATACACGAACCATGCGAATTTACACTTCGTTAATTTCCCTGGCAAACCAGTAATTTTCCACAATTCACGCCTACATACGGCTGTATTAAATTCCACAGTACTGCCTTAGTTTATTTCATAACTGCATGAGATATTGTGCTGCATTAAGTTTAGATTCTTAACATTGTTTTTATTCGACGTATCCGCACTGTGAGTGTGATGCACTTAAATGTACCGTTATTTATTAATGATTCAATTAAACTGAATTATCAATGTAAACTAATCTTGAAACGACTTATCTATTGTCCGTACAAATATTAACATTAAGCTTTCCAAAAAGCTACCACACATTAAACAAACCGGTGATCGCGGGGAGTGTACCATATGTTGTGAAATGTTAGAGAAGGGGGGACATGACCTGGAGACAGGTATGGAGTTAGGGTCCTGCATGTCGTTAGCACAGTAGTCTATAACAATAGCGTTACAACACGCACACTGCTCCGTGCAGATATCAAGTAGTGAGGAGTTAGGACTACCGTTACTAGGAGAGGAGAGAGAGAGGGTTAAGTTAAGTGTTTTTACTGGTAAAAAGAGCGTAAATCACGCTGAAATACACAAATAACTTGGGAAATGCCTAATTTATTCCAGTTTATAAGGTGCAAATAACAATTACTCAGTATTTACAATTGATCGTTTTGTGGAGGTACGGGATGTTGGCACTCATGTTCTGTGATAACTCTCTTCTGTAACCACCACCACATGTCCTTACTGAGCGCGTACCACTGATTAGCAGACTCGTACGTGTAGGACGCTGTCGCGCGCGTTGCACCCAACAGGTAACTGCGCGCACTGTACTGTTCTTCCGCAGAGAAGGGAACATCGTCCACCACAGCACTGTGGATCTCAGCCAGGTTGGAGAGGTTGTCTGCTTTGGAGGGTCGGAGATCTGTAGGGCCTCTGCTGAAGAGTCTGTAGAGGGAGGAACCCAGGGAGTGGGGTTCGTGTGGTGTGCTCGGGGCCTCCTCACTGTCATCAGGTACTGGGATAGACGGTCCACTCGGTTCTGGGACTGAAGATAGTTTCAATAATAAAAAAGTCTATAAATTATCACTAAAAATGAATTAAGGTTCTAGAATTATATATTTAGAACGAAGAACCTAAGAGAAGACCCAACTACAAGGGAGTGTAATATGATAAGAACCTGATTCGAGAAGCTGGAGGATGTTGTCCCGACTGTCGCTCTCACTAAAAGGTGATTGGTTAGATCCTGAGCTGAGGGACTTTGCACTGCTTACATCCTCGTAGGGGTCATCGTAACCAGGGTCTACTTTCTGGGCTAACATCTCCGACATTTTGTCCTGAAGAAACAGAACGTTAGAGGCGTATTCAACGGCTGGGTGGGGGGGTGCTGTAGTACATTTGATAGTATTTGCGTGAAATTCTAAAAAGCTGACGCCCCAAAAAAAACGAAAAATAATTAAAAAAGCAAGGTAATATAAGGAATTGACGAATTCAGAGTCTTAAAATATTAATTTACAAACCCGCGATGTCTGCAGCGAATTGCCCATCTTCTGCCTCAAATCATATATCTCCTCTTCACATATCAAATTATCTTTAGGTGTTCCCGGTACCAAATCTGAAATATGGAATATATCAAGAAGCGTGTAAAATGCATTTAAATTTAATTAAAGATGCAAAAAGTTCAGTCAGTTAGTTTAACTTTAAGCGGGCCGTAGATTTGTTAGAGATCATGTGTAACTCAATGCTTCATTACCAGCATTGGGAAATATATTGAAAGTGTTGGAGCAATGGTTCTTTTTCGAAAGCAAGGTTGCAGTAAGCCATAAATCCATGTTGAAATATTCCGCTCAGAATGGTGCGGGTAAGACACGAATACAAGTCAGGAAGTCAGAAAGTGAGTCATAAGACCGGGGTGACACTGCTTTTAGTGGGTCAGGTGATGCCCAAATAAGGGCATTAGTGGATCAGGTGATGTAAGACAACTCGATTAGTTCAGGGTTCACTTCAGACCACATACCTTAGATAATGAGATCTGGGTTTATCAACCCTAACCAAAATAGAGTGCGTAAAGCAGCCGCTTAGCATGTGCTTGTTTGTATTTTAGGGCATATTTGAACGGTTCATGGGTCAAATATCACATACTAATCGAGAACCAGCACTGCAACTTTCGTTGCTAATATTGATAATCAATTTGGTGTTTATTCAAAAGTCTTTAAATGCTATTAAAACATTTTTGGATGCCTTAAAATTATCTCTACTGATAAGCATCAATTTAACTCGCCTTAAAACCGGTTTGGCAGCTTTGTATTTTCAAGCATACTAGAATTCTACATATTATAATATATTAACGGGAAACTTGACAACATGGTCACCGTATGGTGGCCGAGGTGGGTCATTGTAAATTATTTCAAAATAAATTTAGAAAACCAAAAAAAAACCAAAAAAAACCAAACTTAAGAAAAAAAACCAAAAATAAATTAAAAAAAAACAAAAAAAAAACTAAACTAAAAAAAACTATAAAAAAACCAAAAAAAAAAAACAATGTAAACAATAAAAAACCAAAACAAAAAAAAAACAAAAAAAATTAAAAAAAAAACCAAAAAAAATTCAAAACAAAAATGAAATCGCTCCATATGGCCGAAATGTGCCATCAGCAGTCCTCACTGCGCGCCACAAAGAACGTACGTTGCGCGCGCGCGCAGATGTCTACAATTGTACCAAATGGCGATCGCGCTAACGCGTGCTTATTGTTCCCTCACGTGTAGTCTGATCCAGTTATTATTATCCACCTATTATTGTCCTCAGGTGAAATATATATGGCATACCGATAAACTCCTGTATTTGACGTGTGATTTAAGCGTGCTTGAAAACGACTGCAGACATTAGGTTATTGAGATTGAGTTCAGCATCTTGCCCGGCCCCATTGGCCGGACAAATCTCTATATAAATTTGAGTTCAAAGTTGGGAGATTACTTGGGCTTTTTATATTTTGTAGGATGATGTTAGCAGTGAAACAAAAATGTCATCAAAGTCAATAATTTAATAATCAGACCCATATATAAAACAACCAAGTATATGTTATAATTTAACAAAACATTGTAGTAGGATGATGTTAGCAGTGAAACAAACATTTTATCATAATAACTTACTGCGTATTGTAATCCTTAGAGAAGAATCATACCAACTTTATAATTTACGGAGTGTAACATTCAAACTTTCAAGTTAACTTTAAATCCTTATAACATGATTGTATGGGTTATTTTATGGGTGTACCGAAGAAAAACAGTAAAAAACCAACAGAAGTTTTTTCACGATATTTATAACTAAACGTTCATTAATAAAATCTCGGCTTCAACGAGACAGACATTTTCAAAATCTGGTATCTCGATAGACCGCTTCCCTTATTCGTGTGTATTCCGCTTTAACCCCACTTAACTGAAGTTCCTGAAACGGGTAAATATCTTAGCAAAAACGTTGCCTAACTATTACATGTTCATAGCCAGTCATTATTACGTGTTCATAGCCAGTCATCGGAGTAAGATATATATACGCATATATTTATCCGTGGATAAACGATAACAGTTAATATGAGAGGGGAAGTAGGATGCTTTTAAAAACACTTACTGCTATCAGCTGAGGGAGAGCAGCAACGAGGTATTCAGACGCCAACTCCGAATTAATTTTAATACCAGTAAAAACGTTGGACAAAATATCAGCGTCAGTGAAACTCTCTATATCCTTGTCAGAAAGCATGATTCCACACTCCTGAATGATAAATAATACCTGATAATTAATAAGAGAGGGGAAAATAAATAAAAATTGGGCCCAGATAATGGGTTTTCTGTCTGCTAATTTGTATAGCTATGATTGGGTTGTTTTTGTTTGCTAATTTATCTGATTGCGTTAGCCAACACTGTTGACGGTTTTTAGTAAAGAATAATTCATTGGATCTAATCAAACTAACCTCTCCGCCGTACTCTTCTGGGCACGAATACACATGCTCAGAGATTGTTCCTGATGGAAGTTCCACGTTGCGCTGCTTTCTTCCCCTGAACAGATTTATTAGATTATTAGATATGCACTTAAAGAAGCCTCATGTAGCCTCCAGGCTCGAAAAACCCCGAAAAACCCCGACACACCCCGAAAAACCCCGACAAACCCCGACAAACCCCGACACACCCCGACAAACCCTGACAAACCCCGACAAACCCCGACGTGTCGAGATCTGTCGTATCATGTCGGGCCAATCGGCTACACGAGGCCTTTAAAGACATCCTATATGTTGTTTCTATTCTTGAATGTTTTCAGTAATTTCGTATTGCAGTTTACTATAAATTTATAATCCTACCTCATATTGTTATGGTTCTCCCTGAATTCGTCGAGATAACGTTCGACAACAGGTATGAACACACCAGCAATTAAATCCCTGTCATACTCGCAACTTGAATCATACAGACCGTCTTGATCAATCTCTCTAAGTACGTGACGAAAACCATCACAAACCTTTTCGCGGACCTGTCAGCATTTTTTACTTGGAAAATGGGGACAAACTATGGTATAAGTAAGGAAACGGACTTTGCTTTGCCTATGTTTGTTTCTTGTCGACAAATAATTGTTTTGAAAACGGTTGTGACCTAAGAAGTGAGCAAGATCTAACCAGATTTAGCAAACATTTCACTCCAACTATTGCCTACCTGCCTCCACAATCGTTCTATTTTGTTGGCAGTAGAAGGACCAAGTATCGTTGTAATCTCCTTGTCAACATTTTTCAGTTGCAATAGAGTTTTCTGAAAAACAAGAGTGAAAACAAGCAGAATCCTGCGGTCTAACACCATAGCTTTAAGGTACGTATTGAAATTTAATATGGAAACAGCATTTGTAGCAGACATGGCACAGGGACAGTAGGCAGTAGAATATATAAAAAACGCCTTGGAAAATTAACTCACGTGTACAGCTGCAGCATGGACGGTCTCAGTTCCTTTGTCAAATCGAAGCATTTGCGGTAAAACTCTAGATTCCAGCAGATGGTCAAACAAAATACGTCCAATAACTTCACTGTCTCTATTAGACCGCCCAATGTACAAGAAGATGATTTTCCTACAGTAAGTATCAAGGGCCCTGTGAAAAATTAAAAAGAATTAATAACGCTAGCATATCGCCCGACCTAAGAACCAACTTTATAAATATAATGAAATCTTATCATGATGATCAGCAATGTTTAAATTATGAATTACTTTAATTTTAAGCATCCCTCCCCATCACCTCTTAATAAAATACACTGCTAAAAATACATTGTTTAACTGTTTCATACTCAACAGCTATAAATTCACCCTTCTCCCAAAAGCCTTCCTCCGAGCTTTTCTCCCTGTTACATGATAGATAAGATTTGTTTGATTTGTTCAAGCTCCCCGTCAAGATTGAAGGGCCTTAATTTTGCTCACATCATTTCTACAGTCTAAAACTTATATCATAGTTTGGTTATATTCTGTGTTTAAGCCCCTTGCCAAAATTAAAAGATCGGTACCACGCTATAGTCTATACACTCTACAGGGGCAGAACACCAAATAGGTGCTACAGTATAGTGATATAACTGATTGGCTGATAAGGGGGAAATCTTATCCAATGCTGTGCTCCCATACTGTCACATGATGCACTCAATCTCATCACGTAGTGTGTGCGCTCATGTCACGTGACAATATTCAGTCAGGTGCACCGTGCACACACTCAATCATGGTTATACAACATACACATGATATGCGCCCAGAAATGCCCAGCAGGGTTATCTTTCTAGCTGATGTTGACAGTGGGATTACCCGTTTAATCCCGCCCCTTATGAGCCATCCCGCCCCTTTCAAAACATCATGAAGGAATTTATAAGTTGTGGGATGGTATAAAAACAATTAGAGCTCAGCAATGGCATGTTTTCACACAAACAAGAAATGTAACATACCCATATATTTTGAGGTCGAATTGGCAGTTGGCATCCCCACTTAACTTGTCATGGCCATCCAGACTCCATAAGTAGTTTGGCCCCTTGCTGAAGAAGGTCTTCTTAGGCCTCTTATTCTTGAACTTTGGAGTGCGCATAACAACACCTTGTGGATCAACTAACCTTATGTATTCATAACATCATCTCTCGATACGAAGAGGCCTTGAGACCTGCAACAAGGAACAGTGAATATACTGAATATTGATAAATAAGGTGTATATATACACATATATGCATTATACCGTTCCTTAACATCGTGATGCCATTGTTTTAATACTACTTCAAGGCGCCTCAATTATTATAAAAATGTTTACTCCTTTTTTCATTGACGTGTTTAAATATTTTAACTTGTTACATTAACACTACAAATTTGCCCTTTTTAGTGTACCTTAGTTTTTCAGTCACATCCCGGTATCCTAATTGGCCCGAACTTTCGTTAACAACATTCTGTACCGCCGTCAGCAAAGTATGATCATCAACATCATTGTGTCGTTTAATGTTCCAGTGATTCAGCATTCTGCAAAGCACTTATTAGTGAAACTTTTAGTTTTACTGAAAATGTTTTGTTTTACTCAATCAATCCATGTGTATTGTGTACACATATGCACAACAGATTTTTGTTTTTAATATGTGGTCATTTGGTAAAGTATAAGTTTCGGTGTTAATCTTTAGTTCAAATACCAGTGAGGTAGATCGTAGAGGGCTGAGGGAGTGGAAGGTTTTTCGTCAGAAATATGAAAATTCAAAACCCATTCGATATGTTCATAGTAACTTGACTAGACTTAAACGCACTTGTGTGCTCATGAGTGTAATGAAGGAGGGTCCAATAAGGGTTAAATACACGGCGCAATTCTGCAACGTTTTACGTTGACATAGCAAAACTGAACTGCACATTGAATGAGGGTCCAATAGGGGCGCGAGCAATTTTGCTATGTAAATATAACAAAATTGCGCCCCGCATTAGACCCTCGTTCATTGCATCTATGAGCACACATGCAGTAATGAACAGTAAACACGATTTCCATTAATTTACAATGTTCATTGTCTGCATTATACCTTTTTACAGTGCGTTCTGAATAAGCCCTGTAGTTGGGGAACTTCTTTGGCAGGAGTGAAGTAATCTCGCTGCAAGTATAGTTGGATGCTCTTGAAGCCTCCAAAAAGTGTCTCAGATCTTCGTCTTCCATCCATGCTGGACCATCCATGACATATACCTATATTTTATGTTCTCATGTTGTGAAATTATTCATGGGACAAAGCAATATCACAAATTACTTTGCAATAATGTCCTAGTTGCACACAATATTTTGATGATATTCAACTTCATTATTTGTTATTTGGTAATGCAGAAGGTATTTTAACAGTATTAATACCCTACTATATAATGAAGATCATCAAAAGGCACTGAAAGAAAAATTTTTATTTTTTTGAAAGAAAAATTTTTATTTACCACAAAACAATCAAAACATAATGTTATATTCATAAATAAAATCAAATTTCAATTTCAACCACATATACAGTACGCCGCGCACACAGCCACTATTTTGGTGGGCGTTCTTATAGTTCTACTGTTCCATATCTTCCAAAGATGGATACTAGGCTCAGGTTACTTGGCTCAGATTTCGTGTCTTCTGATGCTTTGAGAGGGCCTGACATGGTTCAGATCTCGAGCCTTGGGTCGGATCTCGATGTTTGAGGATCGTATCCTTTTCGGCACGCTTTGTAAACACATAAGCTTGTTAGATCAGATCTTGCGAAAGGCACCTGAGACCTTGTCATCTATTAGTACGCTTGTTATACAGATCGGATCAATACATAAGAAAGAGAGATGGTGGTCGCAGAATCTAATTATGATTGTCTACAGCAAGTACATCCGCTGACAAAGAGGAGCTCAACTACTTCTGGAGTCTGGACACAGACGGTGTCCTTTTTTTTTTATTTGAAAATTCAACTAATCATTATATATATAAATCAAGCGTTACATTTCAGCCATGCAAAATTACAATGACATATTTTGATTACTAAATGATAAATGGTACTGCAATATAAGTTGCTTAATGTTTGGCCGGATGACAACTAACGAGAAAAATAAACTTGATTATATAATAATTAATTCGGCTGAACCAACACATAGCAAGAGCCACATTAACGTTGGGGCCGTCTACCAAATTTGAATGACAAACATTAACAAGAAATCAAACATATCATAAATAATTATAAGGATTTTGTTCATTACAATTCCGTCACAACTGATAAAGAAAAAAGAAAAGGACAAGCAGATAGGAAATTGGACGGACAGAATTGTAACCAACAAAAACAAATTTCTGAGACTCATAAGACTGATGAGCTAATCTGGCCAGACTGTATCGGCAGCCCAGAGGTACTTGATCAGTTTGGCCTTAAAAGTAGAAATCCGCTCTGACTGCCGGATACATACTGGTAGACTATTCCATTTCAGCATAGATCTATGAAAAAAGCTATTTCGGAAGGCATCCGAGCAGGGCACAGTGGTACTCATGTAAGTTGAAGTATCCGACATATCAATTATTTGAGCATTGTGCCTAGTGTATCGGGTGCCCTCTGGACGGCATAGGACTATATATGTAGGGAGCGAAACTGGAATTATGCTATTCACTATTTTATAGAAGGTCATAAGATCGTTATAAATAAACTTCTGTTTAACAGGGAGAATATTTAGTTTCTTTTGCTCAGTAGCAAGTTTATCGTCATTATAACTGGAGTAAGGTTCACCATTGATCCATTTAATAGCCCTCTTTTGGAGAAAGGATCGAGATACCCTACTACCTCTACCTGGAGATGCCAGAGGTACAGAATCAAGAAATGTCCTGCTCATGTAATCCTTGACCATGGAGATCAGTCCTTGGCCAGCGGTGCCAAACCTCATTCCCACGACCCTGACAACTTAAAGTTAAACTAGAGCGGTATTTGGAAACCTGTTTATCTTTTAGTTATTTCTAACTGACGATTTAAAAAAAAAAAAAAAAAAAAGAAAAAAAGGGGGGACCCCCAACCCATGTAGCTGAGACACCTCACAGCAAGTAGACCAAAGTGGCTCTTGCTTGTGAAAGGTGCGTCAACTACCCGCCGAAGCGGTGGGTTGGGAGTCCCCCCTGGGATCATTTTGTCCGTAAAATTATATACAACATAAAATAGTACAGTAAAATATCAAAATTTCTAACTGACGATTGGGTTCAGTTGTCCTTTCAAAGTTAATTAGGTAAACTGATTGGGTATTTAATTATTTTCCCAAGCTACCCTGTCTAGGAAAAGTCCAAATTGGGTTCAGTTGTCCGGTAGCCTTTGAGGAGCTATAAAATAATGACATAATACATCTTACAATATCATACATTTAAAACACCATGAGGAGAAGTTAAACATAACTTTCGAGATACAAATCGAAAAGTTCAAACATCCAGACAAGATATTACTTACTATTAAGTATATGTTCTCCCAAAAAGTCTTAACGGCCCTCTAACACCATGCTAGTAGCCAGCTGTTACGGTAATAGCCCAGCCCTCTTACACCCCTCTAATAGCCATAACACCACCAGTAGTTATCAGGTATAATCCACGATTCTGCCTTCACTGATTATCAACCAGTGTCCAAAATTATTTAATAAAGGATATTAACATCACACCATTTATCCCCAATCGACGAAGATCATATTCCAAATGTCTTCAAAAACTACAGACCAGTGTCAAACCTTGAGAAAATTGATTGAAAGAAAAGGCTACAGGAGCAATGAGCATGTAATGATAATCTCAATTTTCCAGACTCTACTTCTGGACAATATGCTTACAAAAGAGATCATAAATGGGTACTCCACATCAAAGAGAATACATGAAAACATAATTAGTAATCAAATTACACATCAAAAAGATAACTAAATAGGGTGAAAAGGAGTTTCGAAATGCAACAATAATACTGAAAAACAACCTAGGTATTTTTGTGAAAATATGACAGTATCTGCTTTAGCGCTCGATTTTCATACCACGGTGTAAATTTTCGAAAATATGCGCGGCGCGCCTAAAATTTTGGTTCTATTAAAAAAAAATTTTTTGGTCAAAATTATATTTAATATATTGAAATTAGTTGTTATTACAGATATATGTTAAAATATTTCCAAAATATAGAATGTAAGTACCCAAAATAAAATGCGCGCAAAAAAGTCAAAATTTTAACACTTTTTTGGATTTTTATTTTGGGTACTTATATTCTATATTTTGGAAATATTTTAACATATATCTGTAATAACAACTAATTTCAATATATTAAATATAATTTTGACCAAAAAATTTATTTTTAATAGAACCAAAATTTTAGGCGCGCCGCGCATATTTTCGAAAATTTACACCGTGGTATGAAAATCGAGCGCTAAAGCAGATACTGTCATATTTTCACAAAAATACCTAGGTTGTTTTTTAGTATTATTGTTGCATTTCGAAACTCCTTTTCACCCTATTTAGTTATCTTTTTGATGTGTAATTTGATTACTTATTATGTTTTCATGTATTCTCTTTGATGTGGAGTACCCATTTATGATCTCTTTTGTAAGCATATTGTCCAGAAGTAGAGTCTGGAAAATTGAGATTATCATTACATGCTCATTGCTCCTGTAGCCTTTTCTTTCAATCAATTTTCTCAAGGTTTTACACTGGTCTGTAGTTTTTGAAGACATTTGGAATATGATCTTCGTCGATTGGGGATAAATGGTGTGATGTTAATATCCTTTATTAAATAATTTTGGACACTGGTTGATAATCAGTGAAGGCAGAATCGTGGATTATACCTGATAACTACTGGTGGTGTTATGGCTATTAGAGGGGTGTAAGAGGGCTGGGCTATTACCGTAACAGCTGGCTACTAGCATGGTGTTAGAGGGCCGTTAAGACTTTTTGGGAGCACATATACTTAATAGTAAGTAATATCTTGTCTGGATGTTTGAACTTTTCGATTTGTATCTCGAAAGTTATGTTTAACTTCTCCTCATGGTGTTTTAAATGTATGATATTGTAAGATGTATTATGTCATTATTTTATAGCTCCTCAAAGGCTACCGGACAACTGAACCCAATTTGGACTTTTCCTAGACAGGGTAGCTTGGGAAAATAATTAAATACCCAATCAGTTTACCTAATTAACTTTGAAAGGACAACTGAACCCAATCGTCAGTTAGAAATTTTGATATTTTACTGTACTATTTTATGTTGTATATAATTTTACGGACAAAATGATCCCAGGGGGGACTCCCAACCCACCGCTTCGGCGGGTAGTTGACGCACCTTTCACAAGCAAGAGCCACTTTGGTCTACTTGCTGTGAGGTGTCTCAGCTACATGGGTTGGGGGTCCCCCCTTTTTTTCTTTTTTTTTTTTTTTTTTTTTAAATCGTCAGTTAGAAATAACTAAAAGATAAACAGGTTTCCAAATACCGCTCTAGTTTAACTTTAAGTTGTCAGGGTCGTGGGAATGAGGTTTGGCACCGCTGGCCAAGGACTGATCTCCATGGTCAAGGATTACATGAGCAGGACATTTCTTGATTCTGTACCTCTGGCATCTCCAGGTAGAGGTAGTAGGGTATCTCGATCCTTTCTCCGGGTGTTGAGGACACCGTCTGTGTCCAGACTCCAGAAGTAGTTGAGCTCCTCTTTGTCAGCGGATGTACTTGCTGAAGACAATCATAATTAGATTCTGCGACCACCATCTCTCTTTCTTATGTATTGATCCGATCTGTATAACAAGCGTACTAATAGATGACAAGGTCTCAGGTGCCTTTCGCAAGATCTGATCTAACAAGCTTATGTGTTTACAAAGCGTGCCGAAAAGGATACGATCCTCAAACATCGAGATCCGACCCAAGGCTCGAGATCTGAACCATGTCAGGCCCTCTCAAAGCATCAGAAGACACGAAATCTGAGCCAAGTAACCTGAGCCTAGTATCCATCTTTGGAAGATATGGAACAGTAGAACTATAAGAACGCCCACCAAAATAGTGGCTGTGTGCGCGGCGTACTGTATATGTGGTTGAAATTGAAATTTGATTTTATTTATGAATATAACATTATGTTTTGATTGTTTTGTGGTAAATAAAAATTTTTCTTTCAAAAAAATAAAAATTTTTCTTTCAGTGCCTTTTGATGATCTTCATTATATAGTAGGGTATTAATACTGTTAAAATACCTTCTGCATTACCAAATAACAAATAATGAAGTTGAATATCATCAAAATATTGTGTGCAACTAGGACATTATTGCAAAGTAATTTGTGATATTGCTTTGTCCCATGAATAATTTCACAACATGAGAACATAAAATATAGGTATATGTCATGGATGGTCCAGCATGGATGGGAGACGAAGATCTGAGACACTTTTTGGAGGCTTCAAGAGCATCCAACTATACTTGCAGCGAGATTACTTCACTCCTGCCAAAGAAGTTCCCCAACTACAGGGCTTATTCAGAACGCACTGTAAAAAGGTATAATGCAGACAATGAACATTGTAAATTAATGGAAATCGTGTTTACTGTTCATTACTGCATGTGTGCTCATAGATGCAATGAACGAGGGTCTAATGCGGGGCGCAATTTTGTTATATTTACATAGCAAAATTGCTCGCGCCCCTATTGGACCCTCATTCAATGTGCAGTTCAGTTTTGCTATGTCAACGTAAAACGTTGCAGAATTGCGCCGTGTATTTAACCCTTATTGGACCCTCCTTCATTACACTCATGAGCACACAAGTGCGTTTAAGTCTAGTCAAGTTACTATGAACATATCGAATGGGTTTTGAATTTTCATATTTCTGACGAAAAACCTTCCACTCCCTCAGCCCTCTACGATCTACCTCACTGGTATTTGAACTAAAGATTAACACCGAAACTTATACTTTACCAAATGACCACATATTAAAAACAAAAATCTGTTGTGCATATGTGTACACAATACACATGGATTGATTGAGTAAAACAAAACATTTTCAGTAAAACTAAAAGTTTCACTAATAAGTGCTTTGCAGAATGCTGAATCACTGGAACATTAAACGACACAATGATGTTGATGATCATACTTTGCTGACGGCGGTACAGAATGTTGTTAACGAAAGTTCGGGCCAATTAGGATACCGGGATGTGACTGAAAAACTAAGGTACACTAAAAAGGGCAAATTTGTAGTGTTAATGTAACAAGTTAAAATATTTAAACACGTCAATGAAAAAAGGAGTAAACATTTTTATAATAATTGAGGCGCCTTGAAGTAGTATTAAAACAATGGCATCACGATGTTAAGGAACGGTATAATGCATATATGTGTATATATACACCTTATTTATCAATATTCAGTATATTCACTGTTCCTTGTTGCAGGTCTCAAGGCCTCTTCGTATCGAGAGATGATGTTATGAATACATAAGGTTAGTTGATCCACAAGGTGTTGTTATGCGCACTCCAAAGTTCAAGAATAAGAGGCCTAAGAAGACCTTCTTCAGCAAGGGGCCAAACTACTTATGGAGTCTGGATGGCCATGACAAGTTAAGTGGGGATGCCAACTGCCAATTCGACCTCAAAATATATGGGTATGTTACATTTCTTGTTTGTGTGAAAACATGCCATTGCTGAGCTCTAATTGTTTTTATACCATCCCACAACTTATAAATTCCTTCATGATGTTTTGAAAGGGGCGGGATGGCTCATAAGGGGCGGGATTAAACGGGTAATCCCACTGTCAACATCAGCTAGAAAGATAACCCTGCTGGGCATTTCTGGGCGCATATCATGTGTATGTTGTATAACCATGATTGAGTGTGTGCACGGTGCACCTGACTGAATATTGTCACGTGACATGAGCGCACACACTACGTGATGAGATTGAGTGCATCATGTGACAGTATGGGAGCACAGCATTGGATAAGATTTCCCCCTTATCAGCCAATCAGTTATATCACTATACTGTAGCACCTATTTGGTGTTCTGCCCCTGTAGAGTGTATAGACTATAGCGTGGTACCGATCTTTTAATTTTGGCAAGGGGCTTAAACACAGAATATAACCAAACTATGATATAAGTTTTAGACTGTAGAAATGATGTGAGCAAAATTAAGGCCCTTCAATCTTGACGGGGAGCTTGAACAAATCAAACAAATCTTATCTATCATGTAACAGGGAGAAAAGCTCGGAGGAAGGCTTTTGGGAGAAGGGTGAATTTATAGCTGTTGAGTATGAAACAGTTAAACAATGTATTTTTAGCAGTGTATTTTATTAAGAGGTGATGGGGAGGGATGCTTAAAATTAAAGTAATTCATAATTTAAACATTGCTGATCATCATGATAAGATTTCATTATATTTATAAAGTTGGTTCTTAGGTCGGGCGATATGCTAGCGTTATTAATTCTTTTTAATTTTTCACAGGGCCCTTGATACTTACTGTAGGAAAATCATCTTCTTGTACATTGGGCGGTCTAATAGAGACAGTGAAGTTATTGGACGTATTTTGTTTGACCATCTGCTGGAATCTAGAGTTTTACCGCAAATGCTTCGATTTGACAAAGGAACTGAGACCGTCCATGCTGCAGCTGTACACGTGAGTTAATTTTCCAAGGCGTTTTTTATATATTCTACTGCCTACTGTCCCTGTGCCATGTCTGCTACAAATGCTGTTTCCATATTAAATTTCAATACGTACCTTAAAGCTATGGTGTTAGACCGCAGGATTCTGTTTGTTTTCACTCTTGTTTTTCAGAAAACTCTTTTGCAACTGAAAAATGTTGACAAGGAGATTACAACGATACTTGGTCCTTCTACTGCCAACAAAATAGAACGATTGTGGAGGCAGGTAGGCAATAGTTGGAGTGAAATGTTTGCTTAATCTGGTTAGATATTGCTCACTTCAATAAACAATTATTTTTCAACAAAAAACAAACATAGGAAAAGCAAAGTCCGTTTCCTTACTTATACCATAGTTTGTCCCGATTTTCCAAGTAAAAAATGCTGACAGGTCCGCGAAAAGGTTTGTGATGGTTTTCGTCACGTACTTAGAGAGATTGATCAAGACGGTCTGTATGATTCAAGTTGCCAGTATGACAGGGATTTAATTGCTGGTGTGTTCATACCTGTTGTCGAACGTTATCTCGACGAATTCAGGGAGAACCATAACAATATGAGGTAGGATTATAAATTTTAAATGTAAAGTGCAATACGAAATTACTGAATACATTCAAGAATAGAAACAACATAGGTCTTTAGGTGCATATATAATTATCTAATAAATCTGTTCAGGGGAAGAAAGCAGCGCAATGTGGAACTTCCATCAGGAACAATCCCTGAGCATGTGTATTCGTGCCCAGAAGAGTACGGCGGAGAGGTAAGTTCGATTAGATCAAATGAATTATTCTTTACTAAATACCGTCAACAGTATTGGCTAACGCAATCAGATAAATTAGCAAACAAAAACAACCCAATTATAGCTATACAAATTAGAAGACTGAAAACCCATTATCTGGGCCCAATTTTTATCAGGCATTATTTATCATTCAGGAGTGTGGAATCATGCTTTCTGAAAAGGATATAGAGAGTTTCACTGACGCTGATATTTTGTCCAACGTTTTTACTGGTATTAAAATTAATTCGGAGTTGGTGTCTGAATACCTCGTTGCTGCTCTCCCTCAGATAGCAGTAAGTGTTTTTAAAAGCATCCTACTTTCCCTCTCATATTAACTGTTATCGTTTATCCACGGATAAATATATGCGTATATATATCTTACTCCGATGACTGGCTATGAACACGTAATAATGACTGGCTATGAACATGTAATAGTTAGGCAACGTTTTTGCTAAGATATTTACCCGTTTCAGGAACTTCAGTTAAGTGGGGTTAAAGCGGAATACACACGAATAAGGGAAGCGGTCTATCGAGATACCAGATTTTGAAAATGTCTGTCTCGTTGAAGCCGAGATTTTATTAATGAACGTTTAGTTATAAATATCGTGAAAAAACTTCAGTTGGTTTTTTACTGTTTTTCTTCGGTACACCCATAAAATAACCCATTAATACAATCATATTATAAGGATTTAAAGTTAACTTGAAAGTTTGAATGTTACACTCCGTAAATTATAAAGTTGGTATGATTCTTCTCTAAGGATTACAATACGCAGTAAGTTATTATGATAAAATGTTTGTTTCACTGCTAACATCATCCTACTACAATGTTTTGTTAAATTATAACATATACTTGGTTGTTTTATATATGGGTCTGATTATTAAATTATTGACTTTGATGACATTTTTGTTTCACTGCTAACATCATCCTACAAAATATAAAAAGCCCAAGTAATCTCCCAACTTTGAACACAAATTTATATAGAGATTTGTCCGGCCAATGGGGCCGGGCAAGATGCTGAACTCAATCTCAGAACCTAATGTCTGCAGTCGTTTTCAAGCACGCTTAAATCACACGTCAAATACAGGAGTTTATCGGTATGCCATATATATTTCACCGGAGGACAATAATAGGTGGATAATAATAACTGGATCAGACTACACGTGAGGGAACAATAAGCACGCGTTAGCGCGATCGCCATTTGGTACAATTGTAGACATCTGCGCGCGCGCGCAACGTACGTTCTTTGTGGCGCGCAGTGAGGACTGCTGATGGCACATTTCGGCCATATGGACCGATTTCATTTTTGTTTTGAATTTTTTTGGTTTTCTTTAAATTTTTTTTTGTTTTTTTTTGTTTTGGTTTTTTATTGTTTTAAATTGTTTTTTTTTTGGTTTTTTTTTTTGTTTTTTTTAGTTTAGTTTTTTTTTGTTTTTTTAAAATTTATTTTTGGTTTATTTTTTTAAAGTTTGGTTATTTTTTGGTTTTTTTTGGTTTTCTAAATTTATTTTGAAATAATTTACAATGACCCACCTCGGCCACCATAGTCACCGGTTCTATCTCTTGGTGATTTCAACATTTTTTAATTATTTAAATCGACTGCCAGTATATGAGTATAAGGTTATATAAGACTTATTTTTGAATTCTTATCACACACGTATTGAAACAAACTTGTATCAAACCATAATGTAATTATCATACAGCACGGCTAGCGTATCATGAGAACAAGAATTAACGACAAATCATAAGAGGGACTCTCACCAGCGTCAGATTCAGAAAAAAAGTTTTAAAAGAAGTTAAAGAAACTCTTATTTCAAGGTACCTAAACTTAGAAAGTTAGAAGTTAGAACTGAAGAAGGGTTTCAACCAGAGAAGCACCACGCTAGATACAGTCCTCACTGCGCAAAATATCAAGTTTTAAATGGATGTGGGCGTAGGTAACTCCGTGTGACGTAAAACAACCACCTTCAATTAGACCTGATTCGGAATCCTCCATCACTCCTGCCAGCAGCCGTTGCTATTTGTCTGCAGTACCTGCTGTAAAAGTGGAGCTGCTTTGTATTTACCAAGGGGGCCTCTGGGGGATCTGCTTTATAAGCTGTACATTGCATTGTAGGTTTGTACGACGCGACGTACGTGCAGCATCTACTTTATTAGGTGCAGTATGTGTTGTGTATTACAGGTGCAGCATCTTCTTTATTAGGTGCAGTATATGTTGTGTATTACAGGTGCAGCATCTTCTTTATTAGGTGCAGTATATGTTGTGTATTACAGTTGCATCATCTTCTTTATTAGGTGCAGTATATGTTGTGTATTACAGGTGCAGCATCTTCTTTATTAGGTGCAGTATATGTTGTGTATTACAGTTGCATCATCTTCTTTATTAGGTGCAGTATATATGATGTGACCTACACATTACAGGTGTAGTATCTTCGTGAAAATTCCTTGGTTTATGTGACTGAGGTCTGAGACACAATTTTGTTGCCGTTCAAAAAGCGTTACTTCAAATGCTCAATTTCCATTATCTAGTGGTCTATTGCTGAAAACAATCCCACTTCATCGAATTATTCAGATAATTCACATGATAACCAAATACAAAATTTCACGATAACATTTAAGAGACGTAAATTCAAGTATTAATATTAACGAAAGATACGTATTGGAAAAATTCAGTAGTTTCAGATATATACGTATAGTAAAGGGTCGTTAGTTAACTATAGACACGTATTGAAAAGTATCAGTAGTTCGCGTTATTAACGTATGAACTCGAGAGAGAGAGGTCAGGGCACTTACCAAGTATAACATAATCGAAGATGGTATCACAGTACTGGTGCTCCACCACCCGCTGTAGTTTCCAATACATGTTGCTGCTAGAGAGACACCATCACAAATATTATAAAATTATTCAAACAATATACACATAATATAGCAATGACCCTATATAAAATCAACCCTTAAAGAATTCCAAAAAATTCCCTTAACAATCAAAAATTACCCTTGGCCTTGTGGCTCCAAGTTAAGATCTAGACTGTTTATATCAACAATGTTTTTTCTTGCACCCCTGTCTCCACGGAGAGAAATCACTGTTGTTCTAAGGATTTCAAAGCGAAGGCGCTTTCTGATGTATCCTACAGCGTCTGAGTACCTCTGGCCAGTGTGGTACTCCATCTTACTGGCCAGCTTCTTGACCAGTCTCTCAGCTTCACCACCCATTCCACCAGAAGTCGAGAACACTAAAGGTGTGAAGCTTCCTTTCTCCACTTCAAGAACCCTTGCATTGTAACATCGCTTTTTCTCATTTTCATGGGAAAGGTACATTGCTGGTATCGATTTGCTTGCATTGGAGGGGGCTGGGGCATGAAATACCCTTACATCAAAAAATGCCCTCTCTGAAGTATTCCAAATCGATCTTGCAGAAATGTCCAGCCTGGCTTGGTCTCCTAGGACTGTTCCCCTTGGTAATTCTAGACCATCAACTGGTAGAAGAACTGGCTCCGTCTGCACATCCTTGCATTTCACAGTTCTCATTAGTTCTGCAAAGGTGTCTCTCAGCGAGTTGTGCCGCAGTGACACATATCCACCAAGTTTGCAGATGAGCGCATGGTTTGCTGAGTATTTCTGGCCACACGTACATGTCTTAGGGCAGTCCTTTAAGTTCAGGTTGTATCTGAGAGCTATTGCATCTGAGAACTGTTGTTTATTCATCAGATATCCATACTCTTTTAAAGGTAGTGCTGTTAGCCAAGCACTTGCCCCTTTCTCAGCCGCTAGTTGGAACATCAACTTTGCCAGTGGTGTTGACTCGAGCTCCTGGCGACACCATCACAAATACTATACACAAAGAACTAATATATATATACAATATATATAATACTCTATCAGTTCTGATGTATCTTACAGGATGCCCCGGGGAGGGGAGTAAAATTCATTAATATGGAATGAATTGGTTCCTGCGCTGGGTTGTGATGTCAAACTACTCGGTGTGTAGCACAAACTTAATCAAGGGAAGCAAGCTGTTGGAGGTTCAGTATAAGGTATAATGACACAGTAAACTAATATTTGTTGTCCAGCCAAAGTATTTTGTGTGGTTGCGAGCCAACCCAACCCTGCTCAACAATTAAATACAATACAGCACGACGAGAGAAATGGGAATGACCACTTCCATTTTAAAAGTCTGGTTTTAACTTTTAACAACAAAAATACGAAAACAAGTTACTGAAAACCGGTACATGGTGAACACATGCAACTCAAAGGAATAACTTGCAATCAGTTTTCCTTCTAGACAATTATAATGACAAACATGTGAAATTATTTTACATTAATATGCAACGAAAGTTATAAATTATGCCTGAAGAATATTATGTTTAATGTAAAATGTGTATGATTAAATAAATGCATCCTGCAGTAAGCTACTGCTAATAGCTTAGATGATAAGGGGATGACAAAGAATGCGTTATTAAATTATTTTAAATTACATACGTCATAACCATGAAAGTCCTTATCTAGCGGTAATATGGTGAACTGCTAGTTCCTAGAGCGTAATATGACGGAAGCCAAACCTTACTTACATGATATAATTGTATGGTGGAAAACGAAATTGTTCATCCTGTTGGCGAAAATAAAGAACAAATTTGGCCATCTTTGGATAGAAACAGGCTAATGAATGTTAGGAGAAATAAATAAAGGATGGCCAATAAGAAAAATGGTTGCAGCTCAGCTGACATAACTCTAGTTAGCACCCACATCTGGAATGCTGCCAAGGTAAACAATATCCAAACATGCAATTATCAGTTATATACAACAGCAAGGTAAATATCAGTGTTAATGAAGAAGTGTCTTCCAGTCGGTGGTGCAGATACAATGTACCTGATACACCGATTATAGGCTTTAAATTAACTCATGAAGATTCCTATCAGAGACAATGTTTGGGGTTAAGTTTCCTTCTTTCGACCTTATCAAATCATCCCCTGGGAGCTTAGAAGCGTGCCATTAACGACGGGTCTGATAAAATTCCGTTCAATTACAGGAGTTGCAAATTGCAGAAATCTGGTTTTCGTTAAAAATATGTCACTGATGACTTCAATGCTGTACTATAAAAGCAGCTCGGAAAGTTAATTGAAAACGGCAACACCTTCTAAAATAGATTATAAAATTTCGCCTGTTTACGAAATTAAAATCTAACTATAAATTACAAAGGAGCACAGAGCAGAACTATTAAAAGCGATTTAAGAGTGCAGCGCTTCTGACATTACAGTCTAACTGGAATCTGATTTTCTGAGAAAGTGATGACTGCTGGACACTAAGAATCAGGGAATCTAACTGATATCTTACACAGACGAAACTCACTGTTGTGGTATGCACGATTAGACCAAAATTCATAGAAAGTGGAAAGTGGGATCGAATATGTAACTGTGAAGTGCCTTATAGTTATAAACTTATTCGCCTCTCCAAAAAAATCCAAAGTAACAGTGAAGTGGGATATTTGAAACTGCATGTCTGCAAGACTCAGTCCCTCCTTAAGAGTGTAAAATAACGTGTAGGAACGCCCACATACTAACAAATTTAATTTCAAACGTTACTGGTACAGATAAAGAATATGCACGTGACACAGCGAGTGGTGAAGAATGGGGGCACCGGACAAGCACAAGCAGGCACGTACCATCACGTACGTCGTACAGGCAAGAAAACTGAGAAACCACGTCTAACGAATCATAGTATACAAGGCCAGGGAAACACAGACAACAGTTGTATTATGTCAACACTGAAGTAACGCACAATACAATAGATTATCACGCATCAATGTACAATTGATTCAATACTACTGATTCAATAGCGAGGGTGATGGAGCGGGGTGTTTGTAATTAAGTGTGTATAGTTCCTAATAATTACCAGTTTAGCACCCAATTAGAGGGTGGACTTATTGGGTACACGTTCCACTTTACTTCCTTTTTTGGCCTAATTGATACCCATTTCTCAGGAATCATTAAATCCTGGGCGGAGTATTGAGGTTGTTGGTAATAGTGTTTTTATGGTCAGTGTTTTGCTTGACGCATTGTATATTAGATAGATAGGAAGTTCACTCAAGACTGCCTCGCTTCAGACGGATCGTGTGTCGAATCTCAGGTCTCCTTTTTTAGTTATTCACTTAATTACTACAACATCAAGTTAATGGAGACAGCTTACTAATTATGAGTTGAGACAATGTGATCTTAAGGCATTTCCGTAAATTTAAGGCTGCTTAAGTACTTGTCCCAGCTATTGAATAATAAATGACCACTGACCAGTTATCTGCAGTTGAGCAGTTGGGAAGGCCACCAATAGAAAAGGATCCCGCGTTCTACAAGTGAAACTCATGCCAACGACAGTGACAAATTGAATGTACCAGGTACGTAAGAATGGGGAGGTATGTCACCCAGCCTCAGGTATGTCACCCAGCTTCAGGTATGTCACCCAGCCTCTAGGTATGTCACACTACATTCCAACCTGATGGTAGAATGAAAAGAACCTCCTCACTTACATGTCACGTATATTCCCACTCACCAAGTCGTGGATCTGAGTACCAATTACTCTGCGGACAGTAAACCACACTCGTGTTGCTGGTACACAAAGCGAGGATAGCACGAGGGAGAGTGCTATTAATCAACCCTATCACCAGTACAAATCATCAGTGTATAGCTGGGAGGGCCACGTTGAGGATATCACCTGATATCACGTGATCTGTACGCTGTATGTACTATAGCTATACTAGTTAGAATGCTCACCCAGCACCACAGCTTGGGGTTACTATGGTATTATGAAGATTAATGTAGCGACGTGTTTGTGGCACATTCTAGCTGTGATATTGAGGAATTGGCTGATATTTAGGAAAAGTTGTAATGTGAAAGAACATACCAATAACAACTAGATGACCTGCAGGAGCTTCATAAAAAACAACTTTTCGAAATGAAAAGTAAGAGATCTAATGGGTAGCGACTCAACTGAGATATTTCCCAAGTAGCAGATTCAACAGAATACAGACAGCAGTTCCGCAGTTCGGTCAGGTGGCTGGAGGTGTTGACTCAACGTATCAGTAGTTGTATAAGCTGGCCATGAGTAGGTCATCATCATGTGGCTTGCTAATAATACCAACAAAAAACAGAAAGTGCTGCTTTTGATTATGATCTGCTCTGTGTGATACTGATACGATTAGAAAGCAAATATACTTCAAGGTGTACAGGTGAAATCATCTGAGTACGGCGCCCTAGACAAACATCATGTGAACATGGACCATAACTATCTTGAGTCACAAGATGAATGCAGTAAGATAAGAAAATTACGTAAAAATTACGTTCAACGTCTGTTGAGTTTTTTAATACTTAAAAGAATTTAAGGGAAATTAAAATCTAAGAACACAAGTAAGTCTTCCTGAAATGTTATTAATGAACTGAAATGAACATGTTGCAAATCTAAACTAATGTCAAACAGTGAACAGTGTGCGTGGGGCCTAAATCTGTAGCATGAACTTTAAACCGTCCAGGTAACGAGGTTATAATTCGGAGATATATTGAGAGGCTGCCAAAAATATTCAGTTCTAGCCCCAGGTTCAGGGTTTGTTACCGATACAGACAGTTATCAGAGTGCAAGAATTAGGCGTGTTCCTGACCCCTATTCAAAGATGCTGGGGCTGGGAGGAACATGATAACTTGCAATTTAGCGCTGATACGCAGGGCTACTATAATAAAGCACACGTCTCTGAGATCACTTCACCCTTCATTTAGTTCTATTAGCGTTTAATACCCTCACAAAAACAACTGTCCATTAATTCAGAAAGTTTAAACCATGTTTTATCGCAGTAAGCCAGTTCGGGGGGCATTTCTAGGTATGAGTGGCATGACTTGGTGGTTCGATTAGATTACAGATAATTTGATTACTTAATGCAGCATGTCTTGGCTTCCATCAGGCTAATATATACCGCAGAACTGCAGATTATACAAGTTGCAACAATTTAGTCTGCTGGACTAATTGTGTAATTACAGTTCAGGCTTCTAATTAAGAGCATGTATTAGGATCTCAGAGGAAATTCTAGGGAGCAGCAATTTTTCTCCAATCTGCGAGAAAACAAAAAACCTCTAACCAAAATACGAGTAGTTTTCAATTAAAATAGAATCTATCAGTGTGGATACTAGTCACTGGTTCACTGGGAATAAAGTGCCCAAATGTTAACTGTAAATGGGGGATATCAAATGGGTTCATGTTAAGTGTTGACCGGTAAAGAAAAATTTGCCTAGTACAGGAACTAAAAACAAGCTTACCACAATGAGATGAAGATTCGTTCTCGGATTCCTCTTCTCTTTTGATCGGAGAAGAAGCAGTGAGATTTTCAGGAAACAAAGTTTCTCCACCAACCTCCTCAACTTCCGTAGATGGCTCCTCGACCGGCTCCGGAGTCTCGTCCCCCTCACGTAGGATCAATTCTTCGAACTCATCATCATCACCTTGATCTTCCTCTGGTTCCAACGACTCTTGCTGGGTAGGCTGAGGAGATTCCTCCTGCATTTCTACACTTGGTGAGCTAAGGGTAGGAGAACTTGACGAAGTTATGAGGTCTGTTCCAAAGGGTTCAGACACCGGTGAGAGCAACCTGGAATCAGATGGTGAGTCATTCAGGAGTTTCTCTTGCCTGTTTAGCGAATATTCAGACATAATACCGTCCAGCAGAAGAGGTACAGAGTTGACAATACCAGCTGATTCTATTAAAGTGTTCTTCACTGAGATAGGGTTCCCTGATTTACTAATGGGAATATCTGCACTGATATGATCAGTTATCTCATCAGCAATTGGGCACTTTTCGGGAGACGACAGAAAGGACTCTGGGCTTGTCCGGCGGACTTTAAGAGTTAGCTGCTGCTCTTCACTGGATTCTAACGTTGGTTGAAGAGGACTTTCAGTCTGATCATCAACACTGTCAGTAACGTTAATACTAATGGTCTCAATCTTTAGATCAGATGTGCCATCAATTTCAACATCCATCAGGTTATCTGCTTCTTCTAGTTTCAATTCAAGAGGTTCTCCAAAAGATTCATCATCACTTTCGCTCTCATCTGTTGATGCAATCTCGATCAATGGCTCGGGTGTCAATGGCTCGGGTGTCACATCAACTGGGCTACTCGCGAACTTCTCGACAGGTTTAATTGCCGTTTCTTGAGATTTAGCCTCTAGAGTTGACTCCAAAGACGTTTGAGTGGAAATAGAATCACTGATGATGTCAGCTGGATCATTAACGGTCTCTGCAGATCTTTCGATAAGACTCGAGGTTGGCAACTCCAACGCTGTTGGAGCAATGTCGAAATCGAACGAATCACAGTTGAATATCACTTTACAGGAGGTTTCCGTTATTACAGTTACCAATTCCGCCATCTTTGTCACTAAATCGCCGTTGCTAAACACAGCATTGCTTTCATAATACTTCCTGAAATTTTAGTCCCAGCGTTAAAATTACTTTCAAATATCCGAATGAAGAAATTGAAAATTTCAGGCGTTCGATTTATTTTTTAACTAGATTAAATTTTAGGTAATAAAAATAGTTTAATAAGGTTATATTAACCTAGTGATGCTTTGATCAGTTAGAAGCTGAATGTAGCTTTGCAATGTTGACTCGTTAATCGTAACTCTGATCCACGCACGAATTCTACCCATATCAGTTTTAACAGACTTCAGCAGCATAATGTCTTCTATGATGTGCTGTGGGGACACTTCTTTTAGTAGGTCCCAGATGTCTTGAGATTCCTTTTTCCACTTAAACGCCCTGTAAACGATACAATTAAAGTGTATTGCAGAGGATAAAATTTGAATTCACCTCAAATGACATTTCGGCTGAGTATGGCATGTGCAGTAATAAAGTACAAGTCATGGGCTATTATAGGATCCCTAGGCTAGGTTTAAAAAATGAACCTTGTTTTGACTCCGAAGAAAAGGAGCATCTCGATCCTCCGGCAGAATTCGACTTGTAACACCGAATTCTCGAGGTCATTTTGCAGCTGAAAAAAGAGGTTGTTAGTATACATTTTACAGAACAAATGTTAGGGGTCAATCGGAATGCCAAGAAATACATTGACACGCCTTACACTGCAAAGCGGGTTTCATCTGATAGATAGGTACGAGTGTGTACGAGGTGTCCATCTTTGTGTAAACCTTAAACACAGTTGAGGGCTGTACACTAAACTAGATGGGAGTGAGAAGTGTTTATCAATTGTAGCTAAGTCTGGATAGAACTACCATTTTTACACTGAGTGCTAAAAAAGCCACTCTTTCGCATTCTTTTGAGCAGTCCAACTAAGTCCCGAACTTGATAGCCTCGTAAATCGTAATGCTTACATAATTGACTGATTTCGTCAACTTAGTGAGGAGAAATTGTAAATCATTCAGTCCTGACCAGGTGACAGGTACAACTTCTAAGCTCGATCCCAGCACTAGAAGGACCCCATTAGACTTCAGCCCATTGACACATTGACGGCAGTGGCGTAACTTTGCCTGTTGGCGCCCCCCCCCCCCCCCCCCCGCTCAGTGACGAAAAGCGCCCCCATAAAATTTGTTGTGTCTCTAAAAAAAAAGAAGAAAAAAAAGAAAAAAGGTCGGGTACTTTTTTTCTCGCCCCTTACAGCTTTTTGCGCCCCCCCTGAAGCAAAAAAGGGTACCCCAAATATTTTTTCGCGTCGACCGAACGCTAAATTGGACAGGGAAATACACAAACAAGGCGTTTTTTCAGTGAAAGGGCCTAAAATTCAGGAAAATTGCGCCCCCCTTATACGGCGCCCCCCCCCCCCCCCAATGCTCAAGCTTTGAGAAAATGTATCTGAAAATTCTAAAATCTTCGCAGCACATCCCACATGAAAATAAACAACATTATCAAGAAATGCTGACTGGCGCAGAGGGGATTGATCTGCAAGAGGGTCCGGTCTATGGAAGTTTATTGTTCTTAAAGTTAGTAGCTGTTAGTATTTCAGGAATTCATACTTTCATAATACCATTGTCTGTCCAATGTTCATTAACTGGCGTCGAGTACGTTTTAATCACGAATATTTGTGTAAGAATGTAAGAATGTTGTCCCTCAAGTCGTTTATGATCTACAACACGAACAAGTGCAAGTAGAAAAATATCGGTAGCCAGTAAATCTACAGTTTTCTAATTTTCACACATGGTCCGCTCATGGTCAACAGAGTATTGATGGAGCTCCTCAAACAAAGGTGGACAACAAATTGTTTTTTTTGAAGCTTTGCCAGCACATGGGGCAGATCCAGCGACTGCAGCTCTGCTTCACCAAACTACACGAGCGATGGACTGTTCAGTTGGGAGCGTCTTATTCATTTATATTAAAGAATCTTTGTCAAGATACGATCATGAAACCTGCTCATGTGTCTCAAAAATCGATGAAAAACCCTAGTAATAGTGGGTGCAGTTTATATTGGACAACAGCTAACCCAGAGCGATCACGGAATTGAAATCTTTTGAGTAGATTAACACAGAATGACTTAAGCAAATAATTCAGAAAACAGCAGGAATACGGGTTTTAAAAAAATATGTACACTTTTTGTTCCCCCGCGAGGGCAGTGGCCCGGTAATTGGTATAAAGATGTTCTACTGTAATGATGACTTATCCGTCAGCCAGTGACTTAACGAAGGGCCCCGCTGACTCCGCTGAGCGCCATCTTAGGGAGCGCCAAATCATCGTTTGAATGTGGGACAATTTTGTAAAACTGAACTGAGGTACTAGCAAAACTGCGCGTTTTGGGAGATGAGATACTAAAGGTGGTTCTGTATGCTTCTATACAATGTTGCCATACTTTTACAGGCGGAGCATAGAGAGTTAATTTAAGTTTTATCCTGCTTTTACACATTTGCCTAGCTGAGAGTCTAGCTGCCGCTAGCTAGTGATCTAGCTGAATGAGCTGAGCTAGCTAGATAATATATTGTAACGCGCGCATCACGCGCGTTCTGGGCGCAATGAAATGTGCAAAACATAATGAAGCGTCTTACAGATTAGTATCATCAGTAATCCAAATGTGACCGCCCCACGCCAAAGATATCACTAATTCACTACGTCAGTATCATAAAGGTAATATGAGGCATGTTTAACTACAATGTAGAAACAGCAACCAATGCTTACATTATTAACTGATTTCTTCAACTTGGTGAGGAGAAATTGTTTATAATCATCTTGTAAATCGTTCAGTCCTGAAAATATGATAACTTCAAATGTGTGGGAGACGGGAGTATTCTAACAAAGTAACAAAGGTGTGATATTTTAAGATCAAACAACCTGCAATACCCAAGAAAGTAAATGTCATTAAATTTACATATTCATATGTACTCGCCTGTTGAATGTTTCCTCATTAAGTATTGAACTTGACCATATTCGTGCCTCAGCCTTTCATTCTATTGAATTCAACACAGTTTAAAGTGACATTCAGTTAGTAACAGTAATTTAACTATTTAGTTTACTGAAGGAATATAATAACTGGGTCAGTTAGATAGGAGTCATGAGTGTCAACAAATCTAACATTTAAAAAATTAGATTTACAAAAGGACTGTAATTGTAAGTTATTGGAGGAAATATTAATGTTGAACAACTTGAAATCATAAAATTAAAAGAAACGTTATTTGCACGGATATTTTTCCCTGGTTAACTCTCTGAATCCCATCTCAGGTATAACGGAACAGAAGGACTGTTAGAGCTCCGTTACAAGCTGACCTCTCCAAGAAGTGCATGTTGAGTCTTGCAAAGGCTACAAGTTCACCTTCATCTTCAGGAAGAGAACATGCGATGCACCGACTATACCAGGAAATCAAAATACAGGTTTAAGTATATTTCCCGGCAGTTCTTTACATGAACGATGCTTAGGAGTGACTAAGAAGTTTTAATGTGTTCAAGATAATGTTGATACAATTTTATCTGAGATGTGTAACTAGCCAAGTTCAGCTCATGACCTACATTAAAACTTCCCAAGTTTTATGTAACCAAGTCGCACTTGATTTCATTCAATACGCATATTTATAGATATAATATATAATTTATATATACAATTTATATACCCATCTATTGACAAAGCTTACTTCAATTACATAGTACTTACCTACTCGCAGTATCCTCTGCGCTTATCTCGGCTATCATCAAGATTTTGCTGTCAGCTTCAAGACGAACCCCACTTGTATTACCTATCACACCACCCTCCCTCGAGACACTGATAGGATATGTTTGAGCTTCTGCTGTAAAATGCTGCATTCCACCTTCACCACTCATTATCCACAGAAGCTTGAATGTCGCTTCATCTGAATCTTCAAATTTTCAGTGCAGTTTGGTTTTATTAATTAATTAACGATTTCTATTTTTTTTTTAAAACGTTTCTTTCGTTCAAATCTGAAAATCTTCAAAAGATTAAAACCAGTTACCAGACATTGATGCAACACTGTAAGATACGTGGTATGAAAACCATAATTGATAAAATTGTCTTTTCCTTTGAATTTACGCTAATACTGTGCTAAAATACTGACATCCTAAAAGACGTAAAATATTTTAAAAAAACCCCATTAAATCAAGATAAGAATATAAACAGTTGAAACGCAACTGGCCAAAATGACCATACAGCATATTCATTCAACTTGAAAAAGACGTTATTTGTACGTATTTTCTTACCTTCATACCTCCCACCTCCGCCCTTTCAAGACGTTATGGTGCATTTGCTCGCGTGAGATTTGCAGAAATCTCCCGTTTAGACGTTCACTACTTTGAATGTTTGTGACCGATAAAGTTTTCCGCGACAAGTTTCAAGGTGAGATAAAAGGGTTAAGCACGCCTTTCCCGCCGTCTAGCACAGAGGTGGTGAGAACAAGTTGTGTGTCCCATCACAGTGCAAAGTGTTTTATACGTACATCATTTAGGGCATCTTCACTAGCTTCGAAACGTCACTATCCCTGCATTCCTTCCTTTAACCATCTTTTTATAAAGATCCCTTTTTTCTTTCTGGATTGCATCTGGAGATTATGGACAGTGTCAAGGTATACTTTAAAATGTAGTGTTTGTTGAGTTGCGCTCATACGAGAAAGAGTAACATCAATCAAATTTCAAATTGTGGGGGGGGGGGGTGACAAAAATAGATCACTGTGGATTTTTAAATTTAATCTAGAATCAAATAAACCCATTTTTTACTCACAAACTTGTCCTAGAATCCAAAGCAGACTGTAGGCTACCAGCTTTCTGTTACCATCATACTAGAAGTAGAAACAAATACAGATATTAAAAACTAATTTAATGTTTTTTCTGACATTATACATTCCAGGAGAAGGCTGGAGAGACTATATGGGAACGATCCCCAGAAATATGACGGCAGTACTGGAGTACGATCTAGTGGACACGTGCAAGGCAGGGGACGATGTGACCATATTTGGTATTGTGACACAGATATGGGATACTCCTGTAACTAACACGAGGTGCAGTGTGGAGACTGTATTACATGCTAACTACATTCAGGTGAATACGCTCGCTTACAAAACAATCGTAAGAAAATTATATTGTCATAGACAGGTCTCCGCGGATTACAGAAATTTTGAAATTTCAGATGCAGAGATGCCTAACGTTTTTTTAGAATTGCATATTTATTACTTATTTCTTAATTTAATTGCCCAGCTCGAACCTCATTACAGATCCACAACGAACAGAGATGCAATCTGGACGTGACAGATAACGCCATCTCCCAACACTACGCCCACTGGCGGCGTTACAAGGACAGGCCTATGTCCGGGAGAAACCTCCTTCTGGCCTCATTCTGTCCGGACGTTTACCAGCTCTATATTGTCAAGCTGGCCGCATTCCTTGTTATTCTGGGTGAGGGAACTGATTTAATGGGTCGTTCAATATTTAAATGGCTTAAAAATAGCTTGAAGAAAACAACAATACAAGGGGAATTGAGCAAATTTGCGACGTAAATATTACAAAAATGTTACAAAAATGTTACAAATAGTAGAACGAATAAATTTAAACAATGGTGGATCATCCAGAATATCAATCTAAACTATCTGTTCAAATTAAACCCCAGCAGATAAATTTGTATCATTAAACAGGTGGAGTGACCCATATGGACGGACGAGGAAGCAAGGTGAGGGGCGAGTGTCACATGCTAATGGTAGGGGACCCAGGGACCGGCAAGTCCCAGATCCTAAAGTACGCCAGCAAGCTCTCACCCCGGTCAGTCATCACAACTGGTATTGGGTGCACTAAGGCAGGACTGACTGTGGCTGCTGTTAAAGGTTAGAAATATGACGCTGGTCACGCGAGAGCACGTGAGAGCACGTGAGAGCACGTGAGGGTGACTCGTCAGAGAAATGCTAGCTCTGTGTAGAGGAAGGTGGTTATTTTGGGAACAAATTATTCCTGGGAAGTCAAACTTTTCACTTGAGCATGTGATGATGAATATTACACTTACTAGGGTGGTACGATTTTCCACCAATAGAAATAATACATTTCTGTAATACAGAGCTGCCCAGTGCCCACAGTCCACACTACAACACTCCAGTGATCAAAGCACCCGCAAGTTGTACAGAAAAGTCTCTTGAGTACTCCTTGCAAGTGCTCTTCTAGCAAGTAAAACCCGGTATCTCATACCGTTCATATACACTGTATATACCGTTATTACAGTTGTAGCATGAAGTTCAGTGAGGTCAACCGAACGTCAGACTGGTTGAGAATTACAGTGAACTAGTTGAGCTAGAATAGTAGAATAGATTTAGAACAACTGTCTGGGTAAGATACCAAGAGCAGATGGTAGATTGTTGTACTTGTATGAGGCTGTAAATTATTAAATCATCCTAGGTAGGGCAGAAAAAACTAATACTTGTTCAGCAGTTGTCTCTTCTCCAACTTTGAGGACTTGTGATGAAAGATGATCTTATAAATTTAAAATCATTTCTATTCAAAATACTGTATAATGACCAAGCAAAGGTTAAGCGCTTGTTGGACTGACACCATGATAAATAACCCACTTTACTCCGTAGAGGGTGGAGAGTGGGCTCTGGAAGCTGGAGCTATGGTACTGGCTGACGGTGGGGTGTGTTGTATAGACGAGCTGAGCTCTATCAGGGAGACAGATAGGGTGGCTATACACGAGGCCATGGAACAACAGACTATCAGTGTTGCTAAAGCTGGACTGGTAAGAAAATAAAGTGCTTACTAAAAGGATAGTGTGTTTAGTGTTTTCTAAATTTTTTGCTTTCTTCGGTCACATTGAGTAGAAAAACATCCAGGCAGGTGTTTGATGTTCAAGAGATTCGACATCTTTCATTTCATGTTAAAAGAAATAAATAAAACATATTAGTCAGCGTGCTTTGTAGGACTGGAATAATTAAACCCCACTAATCAAACCTAACTAAAGATCAGAGACTAAAAGTAAATACTGATCGCACGAAACAGAGAATATTTAGGACCAAAGACTAAAAGTGAATACCAAGCATGTCATACTAATTAATAATGTGTATTGTGTAACGTGATGGAAACGGGACCCAATCTGCGATTAGTTATTGACTACTACATAAATTAGTTAGCATAGATTAGTTAACATAAATCATTAATTATCTACGCCGCGCCGGTACCACCTACCTAAAAGCTTTATCAAGCTTAGAATCGAGTACTAAGGAAGCCTCAATGTTCTCGTGAAGTGCAGGAAATGGACATCCAGAACATTCTGCTAGGCCTGTTCCAGATAGAGAGCTCTGACAGCAACAAGAGTCTTTTGAGAAACGATTGCTGTTTTAAATGATGACCTGATGACCAAGTGTCATTAGTGGATTCTTAGCAGACCAGTTGGGCAAGCCTTATTTTTCATCTGGTGATTTTGTGACACAAATTTTTGAAATTATTTAAAATTACATTTTTATCGATATTTGTTTCGAACAGTAAAATGTGTTACATACTTAATAAAGCAAACAATATGAAATAAAATTATATAAAATATAGAAGTTTTAAAAACATATGCTGGGACACAAAATTTAAATTCAAGATAACTACTACAAAACTAGATAATAATTATCGGAATCGGAACGTAGTTACAATTCTATTTATATGTAGCTAGAATTATCAACTAATTAACAAGTGAAACAAATTCTTTATATTATGGAGCCCAGGAGCTTTAAATGATTAAAGACTTAAATTAACTAATAAACTGTTATTAACCTAAGCTATTCGCTATGTTGAAACCTCCAAGTAATAATAGTCTAACTTACAGATAATGTAATAAATGGCTGAGTTTTAATGATCTGGTGACTATTGAACAAATGTTGAATACTCTTCTATAGCTTTTATATATATAGTCTTACTTAAAGGAATTTAGTGTAAAAAGTAGCGAAATTATATTCATAAATCAATTTCACCATGAATTTAAATACAACATTTACAGTCACCATCTTCCTTATCCGTCCCTCCGTACGCTCTTAATCAGTGACAATCTATTGACTCGTTATGCTACTACAAACTGTGAAACATAACATATGCCACCTCAGGTGTGTAAGTTAAACACAAGAACCACCGTGCTGGCAGCTACCAACCCACGAGGCTCCTACGATATCACCCAGCCCATCTCCGCTAATGTTCCTATCGGCACCCCACTTCTCAGCAGGTAGTGGCCTGTAGCCCTTCAGTAGTATGTCTTAAGTGCAGACATTTTCACGTTACGTAGCAAGTGACCGCATGCCGATAACGCAGCTGCAGGTCAATTTAGAAACACCGCCGCCAAAAATGACAGCGTGCAACACTTTATACGACAGCGTGCAACACTTCGCACGACACGTGCAACACTTCCCACGACAGCGTGCAACACTTCACACGAGAGTGTGCAACACTTCACACGACAGCGTGCAACACTTCACACGACACGTGCAACACTTCACACGACAGCGTGCAACACTTCACACGACACGTTCAACTCTTCATACGACAGCGTGCAACATTTCATACAACACTTCATACGACAGCGTGCAACACTTCATACGACACGTGCAGCACTTCACACGACAGCGTGCAACACTTCATACGACAGCGTGCAACACTTCACACGACACGTGCAACACTTCATACGACAGCGTGCAACACTTCACACGACACGTGCAACACTTCACACGACACGTGCAACACTTCACACGACACGTACAACACTTCACACGACAGCGTGCAACACTTCACACGAAACGTGCAGCACTTCATACGACAGCGTGCAACACTTCACACGACAGCGTACAACACTTCACACGACACGTGCAACTCTTCACACGACAGCGTGCAACACTTCACACGAAACGTGCAACACTTTTTGAGGAAACACCAAAATTTCAAAATATGTACTACTTTTATCGGCCAATAAAATATTTTCTTATTGTTTAAGTAAAATGTTATCTTATTACTAAGTTTAAGTAAAATGTTATCTTATCACTAGGTTTAACTGTTTAAGTAAAATGTTATCTTATCACTAGGTTTAAGTAAAATGTTGTCTTATCACTAGATTTAAGTAAAATGTTATCTCATCACTCACAGTCAGCCGCTCTGACATGGTTAACCACCTTCCTTGTGTTGTTGGTTAATCATATGAGCGGGATATAAATACCTCATTTCATTTCATTTCATCACTAGGTTTAAGTAAAATGTTATCTTATTACTAGGTTTAAGTAAAATGTTATCTTATCACTAGGTTTAAGTAACATGTTATCTTATCACTAAGTTTAAGTAAAATATTATCTTATCACTAGGTTTGACCTGATATTAGTGTTGTTTGACGACCACACGCCTACCTGGGACAGTCTGGTAGCGGGATATTTGCTGAAGGAGCAAGCTGTTATCGAGGAGAACAATATTCTCAAAAACTATACGGGTAAATTATAAGTACATCGTGCTGTTCCTTATAAACAATAAGAAGTTGTGATGAATTAAATTCGCCCTTAAGAGATTGTATTTAAAAACTATCTGTTCATTTTTAGCTTAAACCAGCTACATTTTAACACACGATACCATTAGCGGACACACTGTGGAGTTTCACAGAACTACAACAATACGTCTCACACGTGAAGAGTCTGACTCCCAAACTTACAAAACCAGCTAAAGAAGTGCTGGGAAGGTATTACAGACTTCAGAGGGAACAGATCTCACGCAACGTGTCCCGAACTACTATCCGCATGTTGGAGAGTTTAGTTAGGTGAGTGGTGTGACGTCACGTTCGTTGTGGTGTGACGTTATTTTGAATTGTTCGGGAAATCAGATTATAGGCTTTAATTAATAATTTTCACTCCATCACCTCTCAATCCCATGATGCAATTCCAGTTCTGCTCTCCCACAAGCTGCTAACAAACAATTATCTCAAGCTCAAGTTGATAAGCGTGAGACTGATATTATCTCTGAGAAGTTCATAGAACTAAACCTACTTCTCAAAAATTCACAGGGACTGATACAAATTGCCATTGGATTATATATACTTTCTAACTTTGAGCAGTTCTTTCTAAATTAGGTAAAACTTTCTTGTAACAACATAAATTCGTTATATTATTAGAAAATATTAATAATAAATTGTTCTCGCCAATACTAATCAGAGTTCTTACTTGAACTTGGTGGATCGCACTCGAGTTTTATGAATACCAAATCTGAGAGTAATTACTCAACAAATACTTGGTTTTTATGCATGACCACTCATTAGTCATAAATAAAGATATAAAATATGACCAGTAGTAAGAATTCGATTGCATCATATCATACGTTATATTTATTTAACAGGGTGATCATGCCCCCCCCTCCCCCCTCATACGTTATATTTATTTAACAGGGGGACCAGTAGTAAGAATTCGATTGCATCATATCATACGTTATATTTATTTAACAGGGTGATCATGCCCCCCCCCTCCCCCCTCATACGTTATATTTATTTAACAGGGGGACCATGCCCCCACCCCCCCCCCCCCCCCCCCCCCCCTTGACCCCTCCTAGTAACACGGCAAACGAAAAGAAACAGCGAAATTAGCTAAACAGCACAGAATAAAAGTCAGCCGAAGTAAAGTAGCAGTAAGTTTTTCAAGTGTCATGATATTGTCGAACAGTGGCTTCATGTTGCCAACAGCTGGCCCTCTGAGACTAGAAGTTAGGACAGCAAAGAGTTAGGCCTCAGCTGGCCCTATCTTCTCTGAGACTAGAGGTTAGGACAGCAAAGAGTTAGGCCTCAGCTGGCCCTATCTTCTCTGAGACTAGAGGTTAGGACAGCAAAGAGTTAGGCCTCAGCTGGCCCTATCTTCTCTGAGACTAGAGGTTAGGACAGCAAAGAGTTAGGCCTCAGCTGGCCCTATCTTCTCTGAGACTAGAGGTTAGGACAGCAAAGAGTTAGGCCTCAGCTGGCCCTATCTTCTCTGAGACTAGAGGTTTGGACAGCAAAGAGTTATGCCTCAGCTGGCCCTACCTTCTCTGAGACTAGAGGTTAGGACAGTAAAGAGTTAGGCCTCAGCTGGCCCTATCTTCTCTGAGACTAGAGGTTAGGACAGCAAAGAGTTAGGCCTCAGCTGGCCCTACCTTCTCTGAGACTAGAAGTTAGGACAGCAAAGAGTTAGGCCTCAGCTTGCCCTATCTTCTCTGAGACAAGAGGTTAGGACAGCAAAGAGTTAGGCCTCAGCTGGCCCTACCTTCTCTGAGACTAGAAGTTAGGACAGCAAAGAGTTAGGCCTCAGCTGGCCCTATCTTCTCTGAGACTAGAGGTTAGGGCAGCAAAGAGTTAGGCCTCAGCTGGCCCTCTGAGACTAGAAGTTAGAACAGCAAAGAGTTAGGCCTCAGCTGGCCCTATCTTCTCTGAGACAAGAAGTGTGAGATCGTGAGATTTAAAAAAGGGCAATTAATGATGTAAGTATTCTCCTGCTATCTCTTTAATAAGTTATTCATAAAAATGTCTCATAATTATCTAATTGTTAGTCACTCATTAAGCTCATATTCCGAAGTGAATGATGTAGCCCAATCGATTTTGAACATTCGTGCATAAAATTTGTTTAATCAAGTATTTTGGTTTGTCATCTATAGCCTCTAGAAAGGATGGGTCGTAAACGACCCTATCGTTCCTTGTATTGACCCTTAGGGGTCAATGGGACGATTACTGTATTATATGTGTTTTTGTTGTTGTTGTTGTTGTTGTTGTTGTTGTTGTTGTTGTTGTTGTTGTTGTTGTTGTTGTTGTTGTTGTTGTTGTTGTTGGTGTTGTTGTTGTTGTTGTTGTTGTTGTTGTTGTTGTTGTTGTTGTTGTTGTTGTTGTTGTTGTTGTTGTTGTTGTTGTTGTTGTTGTTGTTGTTGTTGTTGTTGTTGTTGTTGTTGTTGTTGTTGTATACTATTATATGTAGTAGCTCATGACTTCTTAAAACGTGCCCAGTTTTAAGAAGCCATGTCCACATAAAATAATCTAATCATAAAGCAGACCCAATATTGAAACTTACTGATTGGTTTGTAGCCGAGAACTCCAATCTCTGCTATCTCCAGAGGTACCCTTGTGTCCACTAGTTGGACCTTCACTTCACTCCCCTCTACTCCTTCCTCTCCACACTCAATCTCATAAGTCTGAAATTCAGCACTCAGTGTGTAGTCTGTGACACTGATTCGTCCACATTCTTTAGCAGGGACACCTACTGAAGTTTTCGTTTAGTGTTATGGGAACTATCAATCTTTAAGATCCTAACTAACTCCTCGTATAGTTAAATCACAGTAGGACTGTATTGTCCACTGCTACACGACTAATACTAGTTAAAGCCTTACTAACCTGTCAATATTTCCACCCTGGCCCCATTAAGAAGCCTCGTACAAAGGGCCTGGTGAGATCTACAATAACAAAGAATACTTATTTTCCTACCTGCGAGTACCTCTACCTTCGCTCCGTCAAGACGTTCTACACATTTATCTGGTTCACCCGCACAATAAGCTCCCGTGTGGACGTTCACGACAGTTATCTTCGTGATCCGGTATGTTCCGCCAAGGTGGACAATGAGGAACGGACTTGTTTCTTCATCTTCCCTCATGATGGAGTGATAGAATGTGTCTGGGTTTCCATCACAGACGTCTACTTTATCTCTGAAGGAGAGATGTTGGGTTGCTGTGACGACGCTTCTAGAACATGGCTTATAAACCAGCTCTGTCAACACACTTCTCTTAGCATCTGAAAATAAGTGACGGTTAAATTCAGTATTGTGAATCGGAGTGTTTCCAATCTCCATACCAGTAACCAGACGTCCTTAGCCTGTTTGTGCTTTTCAATATTGGAGGATTGAGATGTGGGATCTACATTTTAAATGTACTTACAGGATTGTCCTTGAATCCAGACAAGGACGTATGCGATCAACAACTTTGCTTTGAGCATGCTAAGATAGAATTGGGTTCTCATTATACAGTATTATTTTTAAAACAGATTATTTCAAAAAACAAGACTAAGAGATGTGTGGCGAATTGCATAGAGAAAGGTAGTTGTAATAGCTCTGTTATTGTAACCGCATGTCATAAACTGTTGGACAACGCAAAACAGCGCCAAACATCAGTTATCAGCCATTAGTGTTAGTGCACCCTACTTCAGGCTGTACACACTAAGCCGTTACGTCGCCTCTATTTGACACTTTCTACCTTTCATACTGTTACCCCCCCCCCCTTCCTTCACTAGCAGTAGCAGTTTAAATCATTTATAGACTCCCCTAATCACCAGGTTATCACAAGCGCACGCTAAGCTGATGATGCACGAGAGAGTGGAGTTAGAGGACGCTATAGTTACCATATCCCTGGTTGAGTGCACCATGCTCAACTCTTCCCTCCTCGGGAGTGTTAGTGTCCTTCACTCTGTCTTCCCTGCTCAGCCTGAACTGGAGTTCAACAAACAGAGTCAGTTACTAAATGTCACTACCTTGTTTTACACGTTAATGATGAGTTCCTGGTGCAAAAATATATTGTTGGGCCCATTCGTTATTCGTTATTTAAAAGGTAGCATTCTTCTCTATGATAAAAACTAGCTTAATATTGGACCTTCTAAAATGTCAGAGGGAAGAGTTCGACTTTATAACTAATGATATTTAGAATATAGCAGGATTATTGACATATAGGAGCCACAACCAACTAAACCTGACCCCCAGAGACACTGGTACTAGAAGTACTGGGACTACCTCCTAACTACGGTGAGAGCAATGAGCCTGCACCACAAACAATAGCACCCACCAGACGACGAGGCCCTGTACTGGAGACTGATGACCTGGTAGAGGTCCCCTCATTCCATGTCAATACCCAGGTAGTAGTTTTAACTTTATCCACCCCCTCCTGAGCAGTTTGTTAACTTAACTATCGAAACATTTGCCTAATTGGGTGATAAGGACTGTTGTTGTCACAGCTGCTGTGAAATGTTGGTCACTTGCCGCTCCAATACTGAATACTTAGCACAGACACAGTACTTGGCACTGGCTTGGTTCTGATGTGCTGGACAATTGCCAGGAAGGGGGCTCCACCCCTGGATCAATAGGGGATGTGCCCCAGACAACGAGCCACTCCTCACACAGCCTGCAGAATGCAGATACTAGTGATGGCGCGCATAGCATGTCCACCCTAGAGTTGGACTGGGCTGGCTTAACTAATCCTGCCAAATGAAATACTGGCTATTATAATTTAAATAGGCCTCAGGAAAAGTGTATGTTTACACTTACACTGGATAACGATAGATTTAGATTGCCGGCAGGCGCTTTTAGGATTTGTTCTAGGGATCATTTAGAAGAGCCAAGGTTGCTGGGCTATTTTTAGAGATCTGTATTAGAGGTTTCATAAAGACTAGTAGTCGTCTCTGACCCGTGATATTTTACTTTTATAAGTACATGAGAAGACCAGCAACCTAACTGACATTTACTCAAGGAACTACGAAAAGAGTTAGACCGTCAAGAAAAGAAGCGCGCTCCGATCCCTACCCAGTCCCTGATTAACGGAGACACCAATCCTGAGTCAAAAGTTCCTCAAAAGATTGTCCACAAACAGAAATTTATGATGAGGATTCAATGTTCGAGTAGTATAGAGTTTGTAGGTTTATACCGGCCAAGAGGCGCGCCGAGTTGAAACAAATATTTATGAGTTATCACCCGTAATATATTAGTAAAAAAAGTTTTTACATAATATATCTAATTTTCATGAGTTTATTATCGGATGTGTAAGTTGACTAGGTTTATTATGATATTATTATTTTTTGCAATATGGCAATATAATCTAAATTTTGTTTTACTTAAAGTTTGTTTACTACAATTTTGTTTTATTTAAAATGTTGTATTACTTATTTTTAATACTGAGATTATCGACGCACACACGTGAATTCTTTTCGTTCAAATTTGCATTGCATGCAAATCGCAGGTGCACCTAAGATTTCTCAATGGTATTTTATCGAACCATATTTCAAAAGGCTTGTGGTCTGATTGACATGTGAAGGTCCTCCCATCCCACACACGTACCTGGTGGAAATCTTGCTCAATCAACGACCTGAGCTTGTCAATTCCTTTTCCAATTTGCGTGCACACCATTTTTTTTTCACTATTATGCTCATGCTCCGACAGGCATAACAGATGGCACTCCTTGGTTTTGAGCGGTTATATGATGTAGTTACTTACCTCTTGTTAATTGGAGAATACACTCTAATGGGTCATGACAATGTGACGATCAGTTATATTTCTCAGCTCATTATAGGAATATCCGAAGAAGACGTTTTAAAAACGACATTTCACAGTGAGACAATGGTGGTAAAATTATCAAGAAACATTTAAAAATCACACCTTTTTCGTTAATTAATTTTATTGCGCTGAACATTTCAGTTCTTAAAAATTTTACCATTTGTAAATTAATTATCAAACACAAGTCCTAACTAGAACAACACTCACACTCAATAACTTCAAACATCCCTAAAGAATGGTAATGAACTGAAACTACTCCAAGTACCGTTGAGCGCTAACCTCTATCAGTTTTGGACTCATCTCTACCACCGACCTCGGCTATTTTAGGAAAACTGGAAAGTGTCTCATAGCCATAAAGAAGAAATCAATAAAGCTGGACATAATATCTCTGGTAATCATATGAAACCTAGCGTGGCCTGGAAATGGGATGTGGATTGTACGTGCTGACAAACTTATCAACATTATAGCGGACGATATGTCCTTGGAGAGCAAAACTGTTTCATATCAGTTTTTTGTGTAAAACATCTTCCCTTTTCGGTGAGTATTTTTTCCCCTCTGTTCTCTTAATGTAGCAAAGCAACTTGCCTCGCTTTTCCGTTCCTAGCAAGAATAACGAAGTACAAGACAAGGCTTACTTGGCATTCATGGTTTATTGGCTAGCAGCGCTGCCCAATTGGATACGTATCATGTATCAGGATGAATTCTATTTCAGTCCCGAAATATTGCGATGCACAATAAGTTTTTTTTTTTTTTTAGTTCAAAGAAGAGTGGAGCATCTGATGCGTATTCGTACCTCTATTTTTTTACATTGTCATCCAGGATTTATAATTCAGGGTTGTACTATTGGACTGCTTATCTATACATTTCCGTAAAGCGAGAAAACTGAAACCTGGAACACTAGCGACCAATCATGGTGTATCAGTCCCGTGTTTTTGAATCTCTTCTTCTGCGGTTGGTAATGAAATACATTCTTGCGAGTCAAAGGAATTCTATGAACATTTCACAAGATTATCAATCTATCTTACCGTCCTAATCTTGTCAACAAATCCAATAGGGTACCTAATCACAAAAGAAGTTTCGGCAAATTCGTGAGGAAAATCACTATCGTTACAATTTTGTTCAGGGATTTGAATCAAGCTGCTACTGAACCAACCACGTAAAGTTCACAAGCGCATCGAATAAAATAATATTGTATGATCTTAGCGGAACGAGCTTGTGAACGTATACAATATTATATTATATTTCTGACATTAATCAAGCTGAATACTTTTATTGAACTTCTGCGTTATAGTTTCTTACCTAAATAACTATCATCAGAATATCAAGGATAAACTTTTCGCAAATGGAACCATGGTCGGGACTCTTGTTCTGTGCAGTTCTTGAATAATTTGGAAATTATGACAAATGATAATCAAAAATTCTAATTACTGAAGGTTTCACATATTTCGTTATAATGTATTATTGTTGACAGTTCCCTTTAATAAACTTCGAGCTCCGATCCTTCGAACGACTAAACTAAGACCCTAATCTGAAACCCCAAAACGAGATAATAACTACCATACCCACAAAATCTATAAATCTTTAAAAAGATGTCTTCGTGAGTTTACTGTAGATCTACCTGATCATAAGAAGCACTGAGAGAACACTGCGACATGTCACCATCATCTGGTTATTAAGAAAGCCTATAAAAACGCTCACAACCTCTCCTGCTCCTTCATCAAACCTGTTCTTAATAAATTCTACCTGGTCAGAAGGATTTGTATGTAACAGCTCGGAGTATGGCTGATTCAAATAACGTATTCATAATGGTCCGAATGAACATAATAGAACATAAGCTCTGCCCAGAATAAATTGAATATTCATGATAATTCTTCACTGTATGAGGCGAAGGTGGGTCAATGCTGAAACCCAAATTATGTGTAAACTCCGTTTAAAAACCAATTTGGCTTAATTCTTTGTGTTATGAAAGTTTCTTTCTTCAATTCCAAATTGCAAGAATTGATTACACATAATTTAATGTTACATCAACATTTTTAACGGCCCTCCTCCTTTATCCTCTGATAAGATTTAACTAAATTTAATTGTAAGTATACATCACACTAATTATGTCAAGTCAGAGTTTTACTCACAATCGGAGTATCTCGCATGAAGGTGTAGAAAACTTGGGTGTTGACTCGCCACATAACACCTCCGGTAAGAACGACTCCTTTTAGTGGAGGTTCCCCGTCTTCTGAATGGCTCTTTCTGTTTTCCTCAACAACCCTCTTGATCTTTAGTACCTTTTTTTATTATTTAAATAATTAATTATAAGAAGTATCTTAAACAGTTCCAATCGAAGTAAATCTAAGAAGCTACATTTTGAGAAGTTTCATGGAAGAGTCAGCCATCATGAAATAAAATCATGTCCAAATGGCTCATATCAAAAGATAATAAGTAAAAAGTTGAACTCAAACAGAGGGCATTGTAACTCGAAATGATAAACTGAACAGACACAAATTGTCATGTACTACAACTTAAATACTTCAAAAATACCATCAAAAATACTGTCCACAGTTTCCATATTGACAGTATGTTATCTTAACAGATGTTTGCAGCCTGATCAGACAGAATATCAAGTGAGGAGTCATTAAAAGAAGAACCTAGGTTGTAATAGTGCTCCATCCAGAACTACTTCAGCCAAGTCACCGTGTTTTTTGTTTCACAATGTTGACAAACATTGGGTTAAAATGTTAGACTAGTGACTGAAGTAATTCGACAGTTGATCGAACAGCTAGTTTTTTCTCGGGATTCCATCTCTTCAAACCTAGCACAGAAGTAGATCATAAATGGGGATTAATATACATAGCTCAACCAGGTTGTAAAAAAATTTAAAGAATTGAAAATATTAAATTATAAGGGCTTTGTTAACTGCTCATAATCTAGGATACAAGAATACTTATACTACATTACCTGACAAATCAGTGATTTATAAAGACACAAGACATTGGTTAGCCTGTGCGTTTGTCCAAATCCCAGTGCGTTCAATGATTTCTTTCATACCAATTTGACTGTTTTTAAGATGGATGAAACTGTTTGGCACATATGGGCAAAAAAATCATCCACTAAAGATACTACCCGTTGATGAACTCCAGTTGTCTCATTGCTTCCTAAAAGTAAATAAATGTAATTTACCAAAATTGAATATATTCCATTCATAGTTGAACTAGCATCTAGCATGGAATAAATGTGATAATTCAGTCTTCTTTTCACATCAGCTTCACCACCTGATCAACTCAGTCACCTCACTATTTGTACTTCACACCTCTTCAACAGTTCATTTTTTAGCTAATTCGCAGATTTTATAATCGGTCTGTATACTAATTGTTTTAAATGACCCACATCCGCAGGATGTGATAAGAGGTCAAATAAGAGGTCAATATTTCCTGACTACTACCTCTCTGCAATTACCTACTCGCAACAGACACATCTCCACCATCGTCAACTTTGCAAACCACACTAAATGGTTAATAGTGCCAGAGAGTCTGACCAGACTGGTGTAACATAGCACTACTTACACGTCGTCTAGTTCGCCTCTCTCACCACACCCAAGCCCCACTGAAGCGTTTCATCTATGACACACCCCACAACACTTCCATCATCATTGACTAAACATATCTGATTCCACCGGCATCCTCCCATAAGACTGCCATACCCCAGAAGGTAGCAAAGCAACCACATGCTAACCTCTCGTGGGCCAACCCAGGCCCAGCCTATCTTTAAATTTTTTTAAATCCGAAGGTTGGATGAACCTTGGTGAAGTGAAATAAGACGTCATTTCCATACTTTAACCCCTCCTATGACCCGAAAAACTATTTTCAACAAGATTTAGTCTGTCTAACATACTTTACATAACAAACTTACACAATATTAAGTATAAAATATTCTTTTTGAACTGCAACAAAGTTTATTCAACCTCAAACGTTTCTTCTGTGAAACGATTATTATACTTAAACATCTTTTATCCACTGTCTTAGTGACCCCGTGCCTTACATCTCTTCAATAGGCCGATCACCAATCGAGGATGATTTAACACATGACGATTTCAGGAGTGGAAGCCATGGGAAGAGAAACAGCCGCCACCTGAAATTCTGAACGAGGACTGGACACTGACAAGGATCTGAGCTGATTATTGAACCAGTCAAACAAAAAGTTTTCTGAGCTTTTTTAAGAAATGTGAGTCAAAACCCCTCTCAGAGCAAGTAATGAGATGGAAATGTTCGGTCATATTATACGTAGTGTTGACAATACACCCCAATGTATCACTTGTTTGTGCTTTATCTATGAATGAAAAATTAAAGGGGGCGTATGCCGGTATAAAGTTGT